GAAATGCCAAACATTCTGTGATGAAAGAGACTCCATCAAAGCTATTAAAAGGATGAATTCTTCGGTCGAATATGAGATGTTTGGAGTCTGCAGAAGTTACATATTATGATGGAAATGATCTTCGACCATCCACGGGGATTGTTCTGAAGAATGTCGGGAAATCTATGGTGCGAATTCTAGATATCGATGACTTAAGTACACATGATCGACATGTTGATGTGGTGTTTGAATGAACTGATGATTCCTTTGTAATTGTTGAATGCTTGGTTTCGAATTTCAAATACAGTACACTCGTTCGTGTTTGTCTCAGATTTTATTGAGATTCTCTGTAATTTTGTGTCAAATACATTCGATTGTCCCCACTAGTGTTCTGTTCATTACAGTACTTCTTGATTTAGTTGTGTTATTTCTGGGATTCTATGTTTATACTATAATTCAAATACTCCCAATCATCATATGATCATATATTCACCCTCCGCTTAGAAGGTCTTAATATCGATGTTTGCTGTCTATCTGAGACCCGTATTCAAGACTGGTGAAGTACTACAAATTCGCTCTTCATCTGTCGCTTCGAAAAGCTTGTTTCACGTGCGCTTATCCGGGGACCCTGTGGCATCTCCGTCTGGTCTTGCTGGCGTTGGTATCGCACTAAGCGCTAGAGCTGAGGCAGCACTAATCGATTGGGTCCCCATTAACAGTCGGTTATGTGCTGTTAGATTAGAGAGTTCCATTAAAGTGAGAAGAAATCGACGTGAGAAAAGATGTCTTTTCGTCATCTCCGCCTATGTTCCGACAGATTGCAGCCCGGATGCAATCAAGGATGAATTCTACCACCAATTATCTATTCTTCTCCAGAAAGTGCGTTCGACAGATATTGTAGTACTAGCCGGAGACTTGAATGCTCAGGTCGGGCGTCTAGGCACAGAAGAGAGTCGTTTAAGTGACCGAAGGGGACTTGTTGGTCGCGGGACAGATAACGGGGACCGTCTACTGCAACTATGCACAGGCCACAACCTGTTTCTGGCTAGCACTAACTTTCGGCACAGTCATCACCGATGTGCCACCTGGCGTCTCCCTTCTGCATCTCAAGCCTGGACTCAGATTGATCACATCGCGATCAGCTACCACTGGCGTGGTTGTGTACAAAACTGCCACTCCCTTTGGAGTGCCTATCTGGACTCTGACCATGCCCTGGTCTGCACCAATCTTACCTTACTCTTCAGTGGCCAACGAAGTGACCATCACGAAGGGTTTGATGTCAGCAAGTTGGTTGCAACTTCTGTTGCAAGTAAGTATCGAACCGAGCTAGCTTCTAGGCTAGCTACCATTCCACCGAAAAGTATAGATGAGCATTGGTTGCAACTTCATGACGCCATGAAAATGGCTGGTACAGTCAGTTGTGGATTCGCAAAACGTCCCGCTTATAAGCACTGGGTTTCTTTAGTTTCCTTACAACTCATTGAAGCCCGTCGGTCTACTCCGGGTGACCGTGAGTTTGACCACAAACGAAGGATATTACGTAATGAAATCGGTCAAGGTTTGCGTAAGGACCGAGAAGCATGGTGGTCGGAGCGTGCTAATGAGCTAGAAGCAGCAGCTGCATCTGGCAATTACCGGAAGCTCTTCCAACTCATCCGAGCCACTGGCAGCAAGAAGTCTGGTGTGAGCGAAACAATCTGTGAGGAGGACGGGATGCCAATCACTAACATCTATCAACGTCTTGGACGATGGGCAGAATTTTTTGAAGGGCAGTTCAACTGGTCTGCTGCTCCGGCAACATCGGTCAGACTGTCCTGCCCTCCATGGCCGGTGACGACTGATCCACCAACTGAGGCGGAAGTCCGCAAGGAACTCCAACTCTTGAAACACTACAAATCACCTGGCCCAGATAACTTACCTCCGGCTCTTTTTAAAGATGGTGGTGACTTTCTGACTAAGGAATTGACGACGTTGTTTACAAAGGTTAGGGAGATAGAGAGTGTACCAACGTCATGGAATGAGTCGATAGTTGTCCCTATCTTTAAAAAGGGTTAACGTCGTTCCTGTAACAACTATCGGCGGATAAGTCTACTTCCGATTGCGTCCAAGCTATTGGCTTCCGTCATACTTCGTAGGTTGTTCAAAACCCGAGAAAGATTGACTTGCGAGGAGCAGGCTAGTTTCCGTTCTGGTCGAGGTTGTATTGATCATATCTTCACCCTCTGCCAAATGTTAGGTTCTATTGCCGCCCCAACATTTAATGAGCTGGAGAGGGAAGTAGATACTTTTTTACTGCAAAATAGAAATGCCAAACATTCTGTGATGAAAGAGACTCCATCAAAGCTATTAAAAGGATGAATTCTTCGGTTGAATATGAGATGTTTGGAGTCTGCAGAAGTTACATATTATGATGGAAATGATCTTCGACCATCCACGGGGATTGTTCTGAAGAATGTCGGGAAATCTATGGTGCGAATTCTAGATATCGATGACTTAAGTACACATGATCGACATGTTGATGTGGTGTTTGAATGAACTGATGATTCCTTTGTAATTGTTGAATGCTTGGTTTCGAATTTCAAATACAGTACACTCGTTCGTGTTTGTCTCAGATTTTATTGAGATGCTCTGTAATTTTGTGTCAAATACATTCGATTGTCCCCACTAGTGTTCTGTTCATTACAGTACTTCTTGATTTAGTTGTGTTATTTCTGGGATTCTATGTTTATACTATAATTCAAATACTCCCAATCATCATATGATCATATATTCACCCTCCGCCAGTTGCTAGAACACCGCCATACTTATCAAAGGCCAACAATCGTAGTGTTTCTTGACATCAGGGCTGCCTTCGATTCGTTGGATAGGACTGTTCTGTGGGATTGCCTATTGAAGAAGGGTGTGCCTGAGAAGTTTATTAACATCCTAAAAGCCCTATATACAAACACCTCAGGCAGAGTGAGGGCATACAACCACCTCTCTCCATTGTTCCATTCGTGCAGTGGGGTTAGGCAGGGTTGCCCAATCTCACCATTCCTCTTCAACTTCACCATTGTTGACATTCTGGAAACAGCTCTGATGGTTGTGTGTAATGGTGGTATGGACCTGTTGCCTGAAGAAAGATTCCTCAACCATGAGTATGCGGATGATATTGTCTAACCGTGTGATAATGCCCAAGCCATGCAATCCTCACTCAATCAGTCGGCAATCAATTTCCGCATTCTGATTGTTTTGTGGCGCATAGATATCTGGTGCCTACTTGTACCAATATTTATGTGTTCAAATAAATCCGTCTGAGGATTATTCGACTCTCTAACACAGACTTCAGCCTGGTAAAGTATACTCAGTAAACTATGAAGGCGAAATTTCTCATCGCGAACAACGGGGACATATATATATATTTCGAGTAACGAAAAACATAGGGACATTACTATCACTCTACATCTCTGCACGGCCTCCGCCGTTTTCTCACTGACTATTACCATTTCTAATTTTCTTGTGTCCAATTATCATGTTATGTATGTATATAATTGTCCTACTTCGATCATAACTTTATTGAGCACCAACCATCTCTTACATTTTTCTTCATACTGGATTCCTATTCGCTGAATTACTGAGTACTTCATCAAGCATATTACCACAGTTCCCGCTCGTACTAGAAGAGTTTCCTTCAACCATGAATTATAGACTCAAGCCAAATGAGTGGACGCGTATAGCGCAATATTTTAATTCTCTTCACATCCTATTTTGGTTTACAACTTGTTTGTACACCTAAGTGCATCCACTGAAGATATAATCAGTTCCTTGCATGAATTACCTATTTTAGGGAAAGGTAGTACTCCGCCATGTTTTACCATATTGTTAACTGCTTTTTAATTTGAAAAGATTCTATGCTAATTCACTCTAATTCAAACAAACTATTCTATTCTGATTGACTACATCATGTAACAGCTGGAAGTTACAAAATAATCTGCAGTTATAAAAGTTTTATAGCACGTCTCCTATTCATTTTCCTACCACAATTATCCGATCGTTTGAACAAGGATAAAACATAGTGGGTTCTAACTAGACTACACTTCAGAAGTTGAGACCATCTTTCGAAAAATGATCAATTGGTAAAGTCTAGTAAACTCAGCATAGTCACGTTTTTAAATCAGCTGTTTGGTCATTTACGAGCAACTAACAACTCTTGCTTTTCCAACAATAGATCAATATTAACAATAACTATTACGCGTTATTCCATCGGTTTGTTGACACTCACTTACTTCGACGTAATTAAAACCGAAGATGTTATTAGATAACGTTACCAATGTTAAAAGTAGAAACTGGTAAATGTGATTCAATATTATTTTCAAACCCAACTACGTTGGAAGAGATGAATAAAAACTAAACAAGCTATCAGTATACTAGAAACATCTAAAAAGCAAACAGCTAAGTCAAAACGCGTATTTTTACAAAATGAATTTGAATGACACGATAACAATTTGACGACTAAATCATTTCGACTGTAACTGATATCCGTAGGAAAAAACGGCCATTCGATAAAATGAATCGAGTAGAGGGCGAGTGAAGAGATTGTTGAAAAGAATGAGACCAGAGCTTAACATAAGCATGAAAAATGAAATGACCTAGAATTCTGAAATAGGTTCCTTTAAATTACAACAAAAACCGCTGAGTATTACTTAGAAAGTTGCAGCAAAAAGTATAATATGTAAATTTACAGATATAATGTTCAGTGAAAGATCCAAATGACATACCAACCACAACAATTTCGTATAGATTAGATTGTGAAACTACACAAAAATTATATATATATATATATATATATATATATATATATATATATATATATATCAATTGTCAAAGTTACTTTTTGTTGAGGATAGCAAGGACAAATAAGTAGTAAAATGAATGATGAAATACAAGTAGATTATAAAAATGAAATGAAAACGAACTCATTTGAATATTTTCTTCAAGTGGTAGCTGATCGATGTTGATATTGAATGACCAAAATAATCCAATCACAACGTAACAAATGAACGACCTGAGGGAAAGTTTTGGAACAAAAGACAGTAAATTGAGCAGTTACTAATAAAATATTCAAAACGGTAACATGAAAACAACAAAAGTTGAAAGTAGGGTATTCGTTTTTTATTTTCTGGTTTCACCTATTTTATTACAAGATATGGTATTAATCTATTATGTTTATCGTTGAACTAGGTGGCGATGCCAGGTGCTTGAACCAACTGATTGAGATTTGTGAAATAACCGACTGTGACCGCTACCTTGATGTGTTGGTCGGGCTTGTCTATCGCGATGATTCAACCGAGCTATAATGGCTGAAACACATGTTTCTTTAGGTTCTACTAACTTAAGCAGGTCGGTTAGAAAATGGTGTAATAAAAAGCAGCAACTTAAGGCCCAAGAACGAAGTCGTACTGTGGACTACTGAGGGGTGTGAGAGTAGTAAGGTTTTCTCCTCAGAAAATCGGTCCTGTCTTCTCACAACGCAACGAAGGGGTTAGCAGAGGTCGACCCGAAAAAAGTCACACCTCACCATAACCCCATGGATTTCCATCTCCAGCGGTAAGGAGAAGCTAGTACATCAAAAACTCTCCACAAAAAAGCCATGATGGGCCAGTCTTAAGCAGTTGTTCCTTAGGCTCTGCAGTCATACTCCTAGATCACTAAGACCACCACGGTTTAACTGGGAAGTGACAACTACTTACACACCTCCATCAGCACCCGAGATTATCTTGTAGACGATCGAATTAATAATACTTCACCACAACTAACCCTTCTCTCATATAGCAAGCAACACGAGCCACCAATGCCAATCGTTCGAGTTCATGAAATGCTATTAATGGTCTCCTAAAACTACGCTCTAAACTACATGCTCGGGTGTTCAATAATGAAGCTATCAGATAAGACAACAGACTTCCTTAACCAGGGTACAAGAATCTCGCGCCATCGATCTATGCCGCGTCTCCGATTAGAGCGATGGGTAGAACACTTTAGGGGACATTTCGACTTGCGTTCAGCCAGTCCAGTTACCCACAAATCCAAGCAACATGAATGGCAAACTGATGTAAATCCTCTAGCTTCTAGCGAGGTGGAAAGGGCTACAAGTGATCTAAAGCGATGAAGGGCAGCAGAGATAGATGAACTAATTCCTGAGAAGTTTAGGTAATGATTCGGTTTTGGCAGCAGATTAACTGAAATCTTAGCTACAACCTGGGAAGTGGACGTAATCCCATCTGACTGGTCTCGATTGCTGATCGTCCTACTTTATCAAGAAATGACAAAACTCCTCTCGTAACAATCACAAAGGAATCAGTGTAAGTAAAATGGTGTCTAAAATATTGGTCTCATGAAGAGCGAACCTGAGAAAACTAAGCTAGTTTCAGACCTGGAAGTGGATATATGGACTAATATTCACCCTTTGGAAGGTTTCGGAACATAGAGGTGCTTTTCGACATCGAATTATGGTTGTATTCCTTGACCTTATTAATGAGGCGTTCGACTCCGTTAATCGTGAGGTTCTGTGACAGTGTCTATCATTGAAAGATGTACCAAAAGAGTACACTGGAACTGTGAAGGTTCACTGCTCGAACACTACTAGTCGAGGCACATGTTATGGCGAACCGTCATCGGAATTAGTTACTTTAAGTGGTGTTTGTCACGGTTTTCCGCTTTTCCCATTTTTATTTAAATCTGTCATAGACATGCTTTTAGAGATAACTTTCATCGTCTGACTTTTCAGACATTGATCTCCTACCAGTTGATTTACTTTGTGACGTAGATGATATCGTTCTGTTCGGTGAAGGCTCTGATAAAACACAATTCTTTGACTACCTTAAGTAACAATGCAAACATGTTTGGGATGAGGTTTTCTTCCTCCAAATGAGAAATGTTACTTCTGAATTGACTTGCGTCATCGCCTGAATCAGTGATATGGAGTGAAGTACTTGAACCCATCGGCCGCTCCAATTATCTTGAGAGTCTCATTAGTCCTGATAGTCTGACGAAATCTCAGCACGAATTCAGAAGACTCGACTGGCTTTTGCCAACTTGAGTCACTTGTGGCGTAAGCAAGATATCCGTCCTTCAACCAAAGAGTTTACTGCGCAGCATTTCACTCTGTTCTACTTTATGAATGTGAAACATGGCCATTAGGAGGAGAGGATATTCGTACTTTGCCAGTATGCGATCACAGGTGCCAACAAAGTATTGCTCATGAATTTCGGGAGCACCGAATAAACAATGCCTGGGTTAGGAATATAGTACCGGATAAAGATAAGGGTGGTAAATCTTCATCAACTGAGGTAGTTAAGACATGTGTTACGTGGGGTCAACCACGCCTACCTTGACGAGTGTTGTCTAGTGTGGGAGAAATTTGTGGGAGGCAAAACCAACGCATGTTACTATTCGATGAGGTCATTGATTACTGGCCTTAACTATGTTAACAGATGCAAACTACCTGGTTGAAGTACGCGTGATTATCGTTTCCAATGTATCTTAGATGACTAATCTTTATCATTACTACTGATACTGTTACTACCTAAAACATTCTGAGATTTTGCCTGATAAGTTTTATCTCACTGTGCAAATGGAACACGGCAACTCGAACCGATTTACATATGTACCACGTTCTTTGTTGAGACTAACTAACTACATTAACAGAAAAAGCCCGTGGTCACTTTTGAAATTTTTTTAAACCTCGATATGATAAAACGGGGAAAAACGATGCCGAATAATTAAAACAAGCCAAACTTACGAAAAACAGAAAAAACACCAGCAGGTGGATCCCAATCTAATTTCTAGCGTAACCGCTTGTTCCCAAACGAGATATAATATTGATGAGACCATAAATTATACGCGAAATAAGTGCTGGACACTTAGAATGATAAGCTACATTCTGAAGTGCTATACGCAGTTCCAAAAATGCGTTACTGTAAAAAAACAATACGTGAAACAACAAAATTTGAACCCGGATAAAATCGAAACAAAACAAAAGTGTAGCCCTTGATATCCTTGAGGCTTCTTTCACATAGTTACTTTTGGGTAATGAGAACTTTGAAAAGACTAGTTTATGAAGCCTAGTTATTACCAGACTTCACCAAGACGTCAAACAGCACATATGCAGACTATGAAGTTACGACGATAATGTAAACAGAAAGAAATTTGTCCAGAAACAATCTTATTCAACTTTCCTATTTCATTTTTACTGTCTGGATTACAATGTTTTGCCATCCCTAAGGTGTTTGACAAGACTTCACTTCACACCAAAAATTAGAAATATAAGAGACGGAGCAAAACACAAGTAACATGCAATGAATACTAGTCTTATTGAGTATTGGTATGTCTGAAGCTTTAACAAGGGTCATTAAATCATTTTGGTAGAAAACAACAAGCGACATTGTTAAACAATATATATCAACAGTTGAAAACTTACCGAGTATAAGGATTACGCCTTGAATTATAACGCATTTTCAAGAACGGATAATAAATAAAGGGGAGGACAAAAATTCTAGGTCCAGAAACAGCCATAAATATACAGATTACCATCAACATGATTTCATTTAAGGCAATGATACGTAAGATATTTTGGTCATGTGCTTTCACTTTATCAATTGATTTTTGTATTATTTGATGTATACATGACATATTCGATGAAGCAACTGGAGCATCCGAACCATCACTCGTTCCGCCGCTATTCAGAGAAACAGATGTCTGGAGCATGAACAAATAAGTAAAGTTTATTTCTGTGCTTATAATGTGATTTACAAAACCGAGGGATTTTATCAAATGGACTGATTATTTGAGTACCATGTTGAAAGTTTTATTTAAAAATATCTTTACAACTGAGGCTTGAAAAATAAACATTGCAACCAGTGGATGATGGATGTATAGAGCTAATTGTTTCTTCATAGCCCTGATTTTCGATTATGAATTTACGAAACGACAGTAATCGAGAGAGGGGACATTTTACGTAAACAAACAATTTTTATCTTTAATTTTTGTGTGTATTTTTCCGTTGTTAGTGTTGAGGACTGGATTTTAATCAGTCGCTTTTGGCATAAGTGCTTCCTGAGAGGATCCTCTTGACAGTGTCGTTCAGCAACAAGCAAAAGACACCGCGTTCGATTGTTGGAGTGAATATCAGCATTGAGATCCAGATAAATGTGGTCGTTTCAAATAGGACGAAAAGCGTGTGCTAGGTTTCAGTGCTAATCATTAGTCACATATAATTAAACAACTTTTAGTGGAAGATTTCAAAATACCGTCCAGAAGGTAAAGATATTCAAAGACCAAAACAATCTTTCAATAAAAAATCAGAAATCATATGGATAGTGTTATATCAGAGCGAAGATTAAATCACGAGTAACTTCTGAGACATATTAATTGACTAATATTATCTATACATTCTTATGGTATAACTATTCAATAATTAATGTATATTTATATTTCTATTATTATAAGCTTTATTTTGACCTATAATTTATTATTGTACAATTTACTGTTCGTAAGCTATGTTCAGTTTATTGACTACTGCCTTCCACGTTCACAGTCACTTTTTGGCTTTATTGTGTACAAATGTTATTTCCTATTTTATGGTGCGTTGCGATCTGCTTGATTGATATATAAACCCAGTATGTCTGAAATAAATGATTCGATTCGCATAGTGAAAGCTGGTATTGTTGTTCTGGACTCAAGTGAACGGGCTAAGCGGATATAGGACCAAGAAGGACGCTAGGCTGCTCATACCGATCGAACGTCATTGGTTTGGCACAGTGCTAAGATTGTATAAGTCGTATTTTGATTGGTGGACAAATCACGTGATAAAAAGCCGGACATAAAGTCATAACAGATAGTTCAACAGAATACAGAAATAACAGAAAAAGGGAGTTTTTATTTCTTTTAAAATGTGGCTATTATATTCTGGTGATCAACATCAACTAGCATGAACTCATCTCAGATCTAAGAATATTGTATTTAATGTGATATTGATACACGTATGAATTTAAAATATAGGATAAAAACAGAACTAATGGATGATAATCTAGTACTACAACAAAAGATTATAGGTTGTGATGTACGATCACTTCTAATTATTCCCATTGTGAAAATCCTGAGATGTAAACGATGAAGAATTTTCAAAATAACTTACATTTAAAAGAACCCTCGTGAAGCTGGCCGCATGTAAAAGGGCGAATAAGAAGATCGGCACCAAAGAAACTAAATCAAAAGAGAGAATTTCATGTGTTAAAACTCATGTCAGTTGACTTAATTACGTTAATTATGGTCCCAGTAGCACGATTCAATTGAAGGCAAAAAATCTTGAAACTGAATGCGAATGAATCTGGGACGGAGAATGACTAGTGTAATAGAACGTTTAACATTCAAAGATAGAAGCAATGTTGAAAGTCAAATCACTCACTTTCCAGGCATCTACAGAACCCTAAACATGACAGATAGGCAGAAAGGGACAAAAACAGTATGGCACAATATATATATGAATTATATAAAGCCATACCCAATCGAGATCAAGACAGTAAGGGGGTATCGATGAGAGAAAGAAAATGTAAGAGTAACAATATCAGCAGTGATAAAAGATCAAAACAAGCTAATTTATTATATTTTCAAGTTGGTCTGATTATCCGTCCAATTTATTTTACTTACTATTAACTGAATCATAGCAAAAGAACTCTCACTAAAATATTCATAGTCTGAAAACTAATTATCAATGACTTCAGATATTAATACTCGTCAAATATTCAAACCCCCATGAGACCTGATAGCATAACAGCACAACTTTACGATTAAATACATGGTTATATTAAACCAAATAAAGTTGTACTAATTTAAATTTCGAGGAACACGATTCACTCAATACACACATACCAAACTGAAACTAAGCAGCATCTTTTATGTGGACTTTGGTTGTCCTACAGAAAATTTTGGATGATAAAATCATACTTGAATCAAAACATGTGAGGTGTAAAAACGTAGTTTGGGACCATATTAAACTGAAAGTGTGGTGTTAGATGGATGGTTCAGCAGTACAATGCAGAAACAGATAAGCACGCTTCATAAAATATTTAAGCGACAAGGCAAACAAATATTTATCATAAAGAATACCGCGTCAAAAAGGTGCATAAATTTAACAGCCTAAAAATGATACCTGTAACTGGTGGTAATACAGCAAACATAATGGAAAACAGCAAGTAATGAGAAGAATCCTCAGAGATTAAGACCTCTAGGACTTCTCGAGAGAAACCTGTATTCAAACTTTTTATTCGTTGATGTAGACGTAAGGCTGAAGTCGCCGCACTTGCTAACAATGCTCTTCGATACCAAACCTCCAGATCTGACGGGTGCAAACGGGCAAAAATTGGCGCAAAGAAGAATACGACACAGCAGAACAGCGTTCCCAAGCGAGCAAAGTACATAGCAGTATTGACATAATCAGACTTTAAACGACCCTGTAAAATATGAAGACATTTTAAGAAAACAATTCTTAAGCTAAAGTGATACAAGCGGAAGCATACAACTTGGTGAAAAGTGCAGAAAAGTTAATCTCTTACTAGAATGATGCATACATGTCCATTTAACTGACGTAGGATGTCAAGGTGGACTGAATATAGATATTCAAGTTACTTATCAATTCATGAGACTTGCTACGTGTTTTACAGGTGTGTTGTTCATTACAAGAGTAATAGGCGATTAGCTCAGCAAACTATGTTTCAGTATTCAATAAGAATTTATATAACCACTACCAGTTATTATTATTATTAATGGCTTTATTCAATATTATATTTTGGTACAATATACAATTTTCAGCACAAAGTACTTAAACAAGCTTCCTTTACAAAAAAAAAAAGACAAAGACAAAAAAGAAAGGGAAAAAGCTTAAAAAACCTGAAACACTGTGCAACTTTCCAAATTCAAGACATGTCAAGAATGCAGGTTATTGACTAGGTTAACTCTAACAACCTGTTCGTCACAGAGTATATTTGCCAGGTAAGGTATTATAGAACTTTTATAATTTTGCTTGCGTGCATAGATTTTAATGTAATTACGTCTTGTTCTACCAGAAGATATACAAGGAGAAAGATAAGTGTGAAGGGGATGGCTAGTATCTGATAAAATAACACCTGCCAAGAGTTTGCCTGACTTGAGATGTCTATTTACAACCATATTAATTATGACCTCGAAAGATTCACCACACACCTTGCTAACTGCCTTCAGTACTCTCCGCAATATAGCAAAGTCTTTTCTCAAAAGTCCGGGAAAGAATAATGGAGAATAATAGGTAATATGCAAGAATTGACAAATTGTAAGAGTAAATGACGAGTAACCCCAAGAGCATGCAGTTTCTTTATGTAGTAAGTCAGACGGAAAACTTTCTTCAATAGCAATAAAACGTGAGAAGACCAAGAGAGATCAGAGGAAAAGGTAACACCAATAAAATTGACCTTCGACACTGTGTTTATCAAAGAGTCTCCAATGGTACAAGCAATATGGGATCCCAAAGTGGAGTTTAGATGCTGTTCATGCCTAATGCTAAAGTTAACAATCTGACATCTAGACGGATTAAGTATGAGACCATTAACAACAGACCAACAATCAATACGAGACAAAAACTCATTCATTTCTATGGGATGTAAAGAGGCAGAGATAGGCATACATACAGTGAGAACATCCGCATATTTCACAAAAGTGTTTACTGTGGAAGATAGCAGATCATGCAGAAAAGAGAAAAGAGGTGAAAGAACGGCTCCTTGTGGTGCACTCTCTGAACACTTCCCTCCAAACACAGTGTACTGTTCCCTTCCAGAGAGGTAGGATCATAGCCAGTTGGTTATCCGGCTGTCAGTTTTGACGCTGATTAGCTTGTTAATTAAACGTTGTCTTGGTATAGAATCAAAAGCAGAAGTATAGTCCAGAAAAGCGCAGCGAACATACTTCTTACCCTTTTCCAAGTTGAACACTATACTGTGATGCAGAACAGCAACGGCATCTAAGGTACTTCTTTTGCATCTGTAAGCAAACTGATACGGATTAGTATGCTCTTTTATCGTGGGCTGAAGTGGAAGTATCAATAATTTTTCAATTGTTTTGAGGAAGGGTGAAGTTATTGCAATAGGTCTAAATTTTACATTCTTATCACCAGATGCTTTCTTGGGTACAGGAATTATCGTCATCTTTCTCCACATTTTCGGTATGAGATTAGATGAGAAGGATCTGTTAAAGATAGTCGTGAATGGATAACATAGCACGTCGTGCTTAAATAACAACTCTCATATCGTTCTTTATACATAATCTTTACTATTATGAACAGACAATACTGCTTTGATAATTTCAATATCGTTGTTATGTGGTGTACGAACATGAGCCGACGTAAGTGTATGCCAGGTTCTACATTCCTTACAACTGACTGACACATTTTCGCATCCTTACACAATCAGTCAGTAACAACGTAGAACTTCGTACTACGTACATCAGTTCGAGTTGCCACATCACCTTATAAAGGCTCTCTACTCGAACACAACTAGTCGAGTGAGAGCTTATGGCGAACTGTCATCAGAATTGATTACCTCAAGTGGTGTTCGTCAGGGCTGTCCACTCTCTCCATTCTTGTTCAACTTTGTCGTCGACGTACTTTTAGAGATAACACTTTCGTCGTCTAGATTTCCAGGGGTTGAACTTCTACCGGGAGGTTCACTTGTTGCCTTAGAATATGCTGATGACATAGTTTTATTTGGTGAAGACGCCGACAAAATGCAGAGTCTTCTGACCACTCTAAACAACAATGCAGGCATGTTCGGGATGCGATTCTTCCCCTCGAAATGCAAAATGTTGCTTCAGGATTGGGTTGCATTGACACCCGAACTAATGATAGAGAGTGAAGTAGTCGAGTGTGTCGACTGCTTCACTTATTTTGGAAGTCTCATCAGACCTTGTGGTCTGGTGTGTGACGAAGTCTCAGCACGGATACAGAAGGCTCGACTAGCTTTTGCTAACTTGCGTCATTTATGGCGTAGGCGAGACATCCGTCTATCAACCAAAAGACGTGTTTACTGTGCAGCATTTCTTTCCGTCTTACTTTATGACAGTGAAATATGGCCGGTAATAGTAGAGGATATTCGTAGGTTACTAATATTTGATCATAGGTGTCTTCGAAACATTGCTCGTATATCCTGGGACCATCGAGTAAGTAACGCAGTTGTTAGGAAACAGGTACTAGGTAAGGATGGCAAGTCAATTGATGACGTAGTGAAACTTCATCAGTTGAGATGGCTGGGACACGTGTTACGTATGCCCAACCACCGACTACCCCGACGTGCGATGTTTTATGGTGTAGGAGTAGGTTGAAAGAAAGGTAGGGGCGGCCAGACTAAAACATGGCACAAGTCCATGAAGTCACTGATAAGTAGACTGAGTCATACAGGTAGGTGTAGACTACCTGGTTGGGACCGCGAGATGATAGCAACCGATGGTTAGAGACACTGAATGACATGGCTCAAAATCGTTTGCAATGGCGCAGGTGCATCCACCTCTTTATGTTCTCCCAAATTCTAATCTTCTGAATTCTTCATGTCCCTTTCTGTTTCCTCTTTCCAAATTTATTTCACTGGATAATACTCCTTGAATAACATCCTTAAGCCCTAATTTTTTCTGATTACAGCTTATAATTTTACATCTAGCACTACGGGATTCGAATCGACAATTGCATCTCTGAGCTAACGTGATGTGGCAACTTGAACTGATGTACGTACGTACGTACGTACGAAGTTCTACGTTGTTACTGACTGACTGACTACTGCTGTCACACCCCTCTACAGTCAGCAGTACGACTTCGCCCTCAGACCTTGAGTTGCTGCTTTTAGTCTTACCGTTCTCCAATCGACCTGCCTGGCATGGTAGAACCTATAGGATCGTATGTTCCAGCCAATATAGCTCGGTTGGGTCATCACGATGGGCAAGCCCGATCACCGCATCAAGGTAGCAGCTACAGTCGGGCATCCTTACATAACACTAGTCAAAATCCGATTTCTTAACGAAATCTCGACTCCTACTAGTCCTTGCGTAATATTTTAGTCCTATGAAAATTTAATGACCAAATATTATTATCCTATCTACATTTTTAGTTACTTAGTTATACGCTAGTTACACAAATAGTTTTTAATATATATAAAAGTCACCTAACATACTATCCCTAGATTAACATTGGTTTTACTGTTACCAAACGTATATTAATGTATAACCAAGACGAGTAAATGGAAAGAAGTACCTAGTAGTTGGGACATTTGTTACGTAGGCTTAACCACGCCTACCTTGACGAGTGTTGTCTAGTGTGGGAGTAGGTTGGGAGAAATTTGTGGGAGGCAAAACCAACGCATGTTACTATTCGATGAGGTCATTGATTACTGGCCTTAACTATGTTAACAGATGCAAACTACCTGGTTGAAGTACTCGTGATTATCGTAATCAGTGAATAGAAAATTGGAATAAAGTGGCTCAAAACAGTTGCAATGGCACAGATGCATCTGTTTCTCTGTTATAATTATCAGTGTAAAGAGTAGTCCTTATTCTCAAACTAATCACGAAGACATAAGAGTCGCACACATACTACACTTAAACGGAAATTTTTTGGCTCAGAAATAAAGTGAGAGATTAATGGGTGGACGGTAGGCTACGTTGAATAACATGATTCGGAACTGTTTACAACGATGCACGTGCATCCATTCCTCATCTTGCTCCACATTTACGATATCAAATCTCTATCACCGATAACACCTCTGCTATTTGGGTTTTAGCCTGGTAATCTTTACCTTGCTGTGCTGATTAGGTACAGCAGCTTGGGCCGACGTACGTGAGCACCAGGTTTTACGATGTGACAAACTGGAAATCAGCATATGACCAATCATAAATGTTTGCTGAACAGATATAATATATCACAATATCGAGCCAACAGGATGGGACATGACTTAAGAGGACAAATGAGACTAAGTAATAATAAGTATGGATTGATAACATCCAGTGACCGAAAACAATTGAAACGATTTTTATAAGAATTACTTAAGAGATCATAAGCAAACGATTCCTACGCAGGACAGAAAACGACGAAAAAACAGCAATAAGTAGGATAATATTACTGTGGATGGCAAGACAGTTAATCCATGCGTTTAGCTACATATCTTTTAGAACACCGTAGTTGTTGCGCCATAAATACGGACACGATTCATACATAATATTATTACAATACGCAACACACAACTCATAGAAGATTTTGTACGTCTGAACATTAAATTGTACTTCAAAAACTTACAAATAAAGTATTTTGTTGTCGAACACCACCAGAAACCTCACTACTATCGGGCATTTCAATCCCCCCACGTATGTGTAACACGTGTAATCAGCAGTCACTGGAAGACGGGAAAACCTAAAGCCACAACACACACAATGTTAACTGAACACTTTACACCACAGAGAGAACGCGGAACGGAGGCCAATAGACGTTTATTTTGAAAATTAAAATACGCGGGGTCTGTACAGAAGGGGAGCTAGTTTACAAACGGTCTTATGAGTCATCATGTAAGTTTAGTGCGTTCAGGGCTTGCTCTTCTTCTTCTAAAGCGTTTATTCCTGCTTGCCCTGCAATAGAAAGAAAACAAAATCTATTAACAAAATCATACATGATGATTTTAATCCCGTTACATCGCCCCCTCTCCTAATGAGGCACTGTCCTCAGTGCCTGATCTTGGGCACGGGTATGCTGTCCCTCCTTCAGGTGGTACTTCGTAAAATCTAGTGGCCGGCGGTGGATCAGCGAGTTGAACATCGAAGGGAAATGTTGTCCGATCAGGTTTTATCTGGTTGTAGTGCACCGTTATCACATCGTCTTTAGGTCGTTGTATGTTACGTAATACAAACGTGGTGGGCGATCGGATGAGGACAATTTCAAAGGGGCCTTGCCAGGGTTGATGGAATTTACTGCAACCCCCTAGCGACGTCATTGGGCGGCGTAACCAGACGCGATCTCCAACCGTATACCTAGGTCCTTGTGCTTGACGATCATATATATCTTTTTGGTGTCCACTGGCCTTGCCTAAGTTAATGTTGACCAGACGGTAGGCATCAGCTAGTCGGTTGCGGAGAGTACGTATGTACGGAACATGCTCTTGTTCTTCGTAGGGCAGCAGGGGTGACTGTATCTCTACTGGTAGGCGTAGTTCGTGCCCGAACAACAAAATAGCAGGCGAGAATCCTGTGGACCCATGTACCGACGTACGATATGCTAAAAGGCATTGGGGAAGCACCTCATCCCATAACTCCGGTGACGATCTACTGACAAACGACTGCAAGATGGCTTTAATAGTTCTGTTTGTTCTTTCTACGAGGCCGTTACCTTCTGGGTGATAGGCAGTGGTGTGTGTCTTCTTGATTCCTAATAGCCGGCATATCTCAGTAATGAGGTGGCTTTCAAAGGCTGGACCTTGGTCGGAGTGGAGTGAGACAGGGGCACCATAACGGGAGACCCAGTGATCGATGAAAGCTCGGGCAACAGTAGGGGCGTCCTGCTGTGGAAGGGGTACAGCTTCGCACCATTTAGTGAAATAATCCACCATAACCAGTATGTAGCGGTTCCCGTTTTTTGTCGTAGTTAGTGGTCCCATGATGTCTATACCAACTCGCTGGTGTGGTCCTGTCGTTACCATCGGCGTCATTGGTGCACGGGGTGTCTGCTGAGGCGATTTAAAACGGCAGCACGTGTTACAATTCTTGCAAAACTGAGCTACATCTTCGTGTATAGAAGGCCACCAAAAGCGTTGACGAACAGCGTGTTCCGTTCTCCGTTCTCCCGCATGACCAAGTTCGCGGTGTACCTGTTCCACAATACTCTCAACTTTCACTCGCGGTACTATCAGTAGGGGTTGTTTTGATTCATTCATTAGGAATAATGTGTCACCATACAGCTTGAAGTTACCCCATTTGGTGCAGATACGACGAGTTGTTACGGATTGATCTTTAAGCTCCCTCATGGATGGCTTACTATTTCCATGTAGCTGTCTTTGATAAACAATCTGTAAGTCTGGATCTGCTGCTTGTAGGGAGGGCCAGTCTGTCTCTGGAGCTGTACTAAGAATTGCGTTAATAATATCTGTGGTCTGGGGTATTCGGGAGAGTGCATCCGCGTTTGCATGTCGATTTCCTGGGCGATACTCGCATGTGAAATCGAACTCTTGTAGTCTCTCCTGCCAGCGTGCCACTTGCCCTTCTGGTTCGCGGAAAGAACGGAGCCACTGCAGTGCACGGTGATCCGTGCGCACACGAAAGGGTTTGCCCAACAGATAATGGCGAAAATGTTGTAAGAATTTTACTAGTGCTAACATCTCCCGACGTGTTGTAGAATATCGTGCTTCAGTCTTATCTAATCGTCGACTAGCATACGCAATGACCCTTTCGTGTCCGTCTCGAGCTACTTGTGATAAAACTGCTCCAATAGCCGAGGAACTAGCATCCGTATCGAGTATAAATTCGCCTCCGTCTGCTGAAGTATCTGGGAAGGCTAATATAGGTGGAGAAGTTAATCGAGCCTTCAAAGCATCAAACGCCTGTTGACACTCGCTGGTCCATAAAAATTTTCGTCCTTTGTGGGTTAATCGGTGTAAAGGTGCTGCTAATGATGCGAAATCACGTACGAAGCGTCTATAGTAAGAAGCTAGTCCAAGGAAGCTACGAACGTCTTCAGGTGATTTTGGTTGTGGCCAATTAACAATCACACGTGTCTTTTCTTTATCTGTTGCCACTCCATCTTCTGTAATGCGGTGCCCTAAGAAAAGCACTTCTTTTTGCAATAGTCGACATTTAGATGGTTTCACTTTTAGGTTATGCTGCTTAATACGTTGTAGGACTGCCTTCAAATTGGCATTATGTTGTTCTGGCGTGTTGCCATATACAATAATATCGTCAAGGTAGATTAAGCACTGGTGCGGTACGAGACCTTGCAGAACTGTCTGCATCAATCGTTGAAAGGTAGCTGGGGCGTTAGTTAGCCCGAAAGGCATTACTTGAAATTCATATAAGCCATTAGGCACTACAAATGCAGTTTTTTTTCTATCTTGGGGTCGGACTTCCACTTGCCAATACCCGGATGCTAAGTCTAGCGTTGAGAACCAGCGAGCACCTTTCATGGCATCTAAGGTAGCGTCTATCCGTGGAAGTGGAAAGGAATCACGCTTAGTTATAGCATTAAGGCGCCGGTAATCTACACACAGTCGTAGGGAGGAATCCTTCTTTTTTACTAAGACAATTGGCGATGCCCAGGGTGACGAAGATGGTACAATAATCTTTTTTTCTAACATATCTTTTATCATGGATTCTAAATGAGGCTGATAATGCACCGGGACCCTACGAGGTGGTTGGCGTAATGGCATGTGGTCACCTGTGACAATGGAATGTTGCACAATGGTTGTCCGATTTCCAGAGATGTTCTCCGAGAAAACAGTGCTAAATCGTTGGAGTACGTCAATGGTAGCCCGACGGTCCTTTTCACTTATTAATTGGTTATCTCGTACCTGACGTACAATCTCTGCAGTTCCCACCTGGGCTACGGACTTAGTTGGTATTTCATGGTGTTGTATTTGTACGACAACTCCACCAATACTCGCTTCTGACTTATTCATGTGTATAGAGACCTGGTATTTTAACATGAAGTCGACCCCGAGAATCATGTCCCAAGTCAGTGTGGGGCAAACCCAGAATTCATGTTGAAAAGGCTTCTTGTCAATCGTCAGCTCTAACCCTATCTGAGAACATGCTTTCAAGGGTTCTCCGCTCGCGGTAATTAACGTAGAAGAGCGTTGTTTACGCTGGGTGCTGAGGTTAAGTTTCTGCAAGAGGTCTTCCTTGATCAAGGATACTGAAGCTCCTGTATCTAATAGTATATTAATCTCAGTACTTTGCACTCTACCCTTAATAGTAACAGGGCACAAATGCTTAACATAGCAAGACGATATATGTAAACGACACTGCTTACCTGGTTTCCGGGGGCGGTTGTGACCGCATCTTTTGGCGTTCTTGCCAAACCTTTTGCAATATATACAGTCGGCTTGGCGCCCATTGTAATTTCTCCATGCTGGTTGTTTGTTCCATCTCAAATTTGACTGTCCGCGGATAGCACCTCGACCGGGAAGGTCGGTCACAGCTATTGTAGCCTGGCAGGTGTCCGGACCACTAGATTTTGTGGCTCGTTCCACAGTCATTACCGATGATGAATGTGCATTGGATACATTCGCTAGTTTGTCAGCGGCCAGAAAGCGTAATGTTGTTCTCTTTACGTCAAACGTATCCGTTGGTGGATTTCGAAGGAAGTGTTCTCTGAGTGGTCCGGGTAACAGGCCCTCGACAAAACGTGAGCGAATTAGTTCCTCTCGTCCCATCATATCCAACCGGGGGAATGCTTGTACCGCAACTTGCTGTAGGGAATGAAGGTAGTCTACTGGACTCTCGTTCGCTTTTTGGTGGCGTGATAAAAACTGAATTGTCATTTGCTGGGTGTCCACGGGCAGGGAAAAACAGTCGTCCAGAATTCTCCAGTTTTGTGGGAGCGTGTTACTGGCCGAAAACCCGTTCGCTATAACCCTGCGTACTGCATCATCACTCAGATAGGAAACAAGGTAGTTGAAATGCTCGGATAATGGAACTCTCTGCAGGTACGCTGTGACTTTAAACTTCCAAACGGAGTAATCTGATGATGTTTCGAGCAGTGGTGGTTGATGCGGGGTTGAACTGGAAGTAGCCCTGATTGGAATCAAAGGGGGTTCGTCTAGGTTCTCATCGCGTTTTTCCATCTCACCTCCGACACCAGTTGTAACACGTGTAATCAGCAGTCACTGGAAGACGGGAAAACCTAAAGCCACAACACACACAATGTTAACTGAACACTTTACACCACAGAGAGAACGCGGAACGGAGGCCAATAGACGTTTATTTTGAAAATTAAAATACGCGGGGTCTGTACAGAAGGGGAGCTAGTTTACAAACGGTCTTATGAGTCATCATGTAAGTTTAGTGCGTTCAGGGCTTGCTCTTCTTCTTCTAAAGCGTTTATTCCTGCTTGCCCTGCAATAGAAAGAAAACAAAATCTATTAACAAAATCATACATGATGATTTTAATCCCGTTACATATGTTTTAACGAAAAGCCGCGCCAACAAGCTTAGGATAATGTGAAATTCACAATTTGACAAAAAAAGAAATAAATGGGTCTCTGACTCGGTAACCTCGGAAGATCCAGTGTCTGACATATTCGTGAGCCAAAGTTGTGAAGGTACTTTTCAGATCACCAGTATGTTATTCCTTTTTTCTGGTATGTTTCTATGAGTGTCCAGTCTTCTCTTCAATAAATCAATTGAAAGTGCGGACACCACCGCTTCGGGTAACAGGTTCAAAAATTGGTGACTCGGTGTGAAAACCTGTATGCTACGGATATTTTGTTCGTTCTTGACTTTTCTACTCGCTGGCTATGTCCTCTGAGATGTCCCGATCTAATGGGATGAAATAGAATACATTGGGTACAAAATCATTTCTCAGTATTCTATGCATAAAAATCAGATCATCTCTTAATCTGCGATAGAACAGAGTAAAGGGGTCTAGCTTTTCAATCCACTCTTTGTATGGTAAACCCCGGAGTTCTGGAATTGCATGGGTAGCTGTCAGGATATCCGAGTAACTGATGAGTCTACTTATCGGGGTTTTTAGATTTGTTTCTACTAGATATGAGTTATCTTAGTGACTCACATGTTTTTGATCAAATTTCTTACAAAAATGAAGAAAATATGTCGGGCGTATCAAATGATGATCAGGAACCCAGTGACAATTTTGATAGATGCTGGTTATTCTAGTGATCCATTATCTACTAATGGGATTTTCAAGAAATTTCATAAAAATGTTTCGGAAGAGTCAAACCTTAATAACCTCATACCATGTGTCGTTGATCCTCACTATCTAGTCAGTCCTAGTAGACTCTCTGTTCAATGCGGGAAATGTATTTTAACTAAAGTCACACTAACTGTAACTTGGGAATATGAAGACCCAACATAAGGTTAGAAAATTTAAAGTCAGGACCTAAACTTCTAGTCTTCAAAGAAAGAAGGGGAGGTGATATGATGAGAAGAAAAGTCAAAATTAGATTGATTTACTTATTATTATTTCTATTCAACTTTACTTCCGTTTTCATTCAATGTGATGATTATTCAGTGTAGCATTTTTGCTTCCACGTATGATATTTTATTCTGTACAATACACGATATTTTTGTATTCGATGGACATGAACTATGCTCAGCATGTGATTTGTTATAACTCTAAGTATGTTTCATATATGTGATTTCATCCTAATTACCAATTAAAATGTGTACACAATCAATATATAAATGGGTGTATTTGTGACTAGGGTCGTTGTCGTCATCGCGTTTTGGGAGTTAATAAATCTTCACTTATACTAGTCTTTCCGCTCTTACTTTCGCGTGGTGGGAATTGCAGAGGTCCCTCTTAAGTAATTCTTATAAAAATCGTTTCAATTGTTTTCGGTCACTGGATGTTATCAATCCATACTTATTATTACTTAGTCTCATTTGTCCTCTTAAGTCATGTCCCATCCTGTTGGCTCGATATTGTGATATATTATATCTGTTCAGCAAACATTTATGATTGGTCATATGCTGATTTCCAGTTTGTCACATCGTAAAACCTGGTGCTCACGTACGTCGGCCCAAGCTGCTGTACCTAATCAGCACAGCAAGGTAAAGATTACCAGGCTAAAACCCAAATAGCAGAGGTGTTATCGGTGATAGAGATTTGATATCGTAAATGTGGAGCAAGATGAGGAATGGATGCACGTGCATCGTTGTAAACAGTTCCGAATCATGTTATTCAACGTAGCCTACCGTCCACCCATTAATCTCTCACTTTATTTCTGAGCCAAAAAATTTCCGTTTAAGTGTAGTATGTGTGCGACTCTTATGTCTTCGTGATTAGTTTGAGAATAAGGACTACTCTTTACACTGATAATTATAACAGAGAAACAGATGCATCTGTGCCATTGCAACTGTTTTGAGCCACTTTATTCCAATTTTCTATTCACTGATTACGATAATCACGAGTACTTCAACCAGGTAGTTTGCATCTGTTAACATAGTTAAGGCCAGTAATCAATGACCTCATCGAATAGTAACATGCGTTGGTTTTGCCTCCCACAAATTTCTCCCAACCTACTCCCACACTAGACAACACTCGTCAAGGTAGGCGTGGTTAAGCCTACGTAACAAATGTCCCAACTACTAGGTACTTCTTTCCATTTACTCGTCTTGGTTATACATTAATATACGTTTGGTAACAGTAAAACCAATGTTAATCTAGGGATAGTATGTTAGGTGACTTTTATATATATTAAAAACTATTTGTGTAACTAGCGTATAACTAAGTAACTAAAAATGTAGATAGGATAATAATATTTGGTCATTAAATTTTCATAGGACTAAAATATTACGCAAGGACTAGTAGGAGTCGAGATTTCGTTAAGAAATCGGATTTTGACTAGTGTTATGTAAGGATGCCCGACTGTAGCTGCTACCTTGATGCGGTGATCGGGCTTGCCCATCGTGATGACCCAACCGAGCTATATTGGCTGGAACATACGATCCTATAGGTTCTACCATGCCAGGCAGGTCGATTGGAGAACGGTAAGACTAAAAGCAGCAACTCAAGGTCTGAGGGCGAAGTCGTACTGCTGACTGTAGAGGGGTGTGACAGCAGTAGTCAGTCAGTCAGTAACAACGTAGAACTTCGTACGTACGTACGTACGTACATCAGTTCAAGTTGCCACATCACGTTAGCTCAGAGATGCAATTGTCGATTCGAATCCCGTAGTGCTAGATGTAAAATTATAAGCTGTAATCAGAAAAAATTAGGGCTTAAGGATGTTATTCAAGGAGTATTATCCAGTGAAATAAATTTGGAAAGAGGAAACAGAAAGGGACATGAAGAATTCAGAAGATTAGAATTTGGGAGAACATAAAGAGGTGGATGCACCTGCGCCATTGCAAACGATTTTGAGCCATGTCATTCAGTGTCTCTAACCATCGGTTGCTATCATCTCGCGGTCCCAACCAGGTAGTCTACACCTACCTGTATGACTCAGTCTACTTATCAGTGACTTCATGGACTTGTGCCATGTTTTAGTCTGGCCGCCCCTACCTTTCTTTCAACCTACTCCTACACCATAAAACATCGCACGTCGGGGTAGTCGGTGGTTGGGCATACGTAACACGTGTCCCAGCCATCTCAACTGATGAAGTTTCACTACGTCATCAATTGACTTGCCATCCTTACCTAGTACCTGTTTCCTAACAACTGCGTTACTTACTCGATGGTCCCAGGATATACGAGCAATGTTTCGAAGACACCTATGATCAAATATTAGTAACCTACGAATATCCTCTACTATTACCGGCCATATTTCACTGTCATAAAGTAAGACGGAAAGAAATGCTGCACAGTAAACACGTCTTTTGGTTGATAGACGGATGTCTCGCCTACGCCATAAATGACGCAAGTTAGCAAAAGCTAGTCGAGCCTTCTGTATCCGTGCTGAGACTTCGTCACACACCAGACCACAAGGTCTGATGAGACTTCCAAAATAAGTGAAGCAGTCGACACACTCGACTACTTCACTCTCTATCATTAGTTCGGGTGTCAATGCAACCCAATCCTGAAGCAACATTTTGCATTTCGAGGGGAAGAATCGCATCCCGAACATGCCTGCATTGTTGTTTAGAGTGGTCAGAAGACTCTGCATTTTGTCGGCGTCTTCACCAAATAAAACTATGTCATCAGCATATTCTAAGGCAACAAGTGAACCTCCCGGTAGAAGTTCAACCCCTGGAAATCTAGACGACGAAAGTGTTATCTCTAAAAGTACGTCGACGACAAAGTTGAACAAGAATGGAGAGAGTGGACAGCCCTGACGAACACCACTTGAGGTAATCAATTCTGATGACAGTTCGCCATAAGCTCTCACTCGACTAGTTGTGTTCGAGTAGAGAGCCTTTATAAGGTGATGTGGCAACTCGAACTGATGTACGTAGTACGAAGTTCTACGTTGTTACTGACTGATTGTGTAAGGATGCGAAAATGTGTCAGTCAGTTGTAAGGAATGTAGAACCTGGCATACACTTACGTCGGCTCATGTTCGTACACCACATAACAACGATATTGAAATTATCAAAGCAGTATTGTCTGTTCATAATAGTAAAGATTATGTATAAAGAACGATATGAGAGTTGTTATTTAAGCACGACGTGCTATGTTATCCATTCACGACTATCTTTAACAGATCCTTCTCATCTAATCTCATACCGAAAATGTGGAGAAAGATGACGATAATTCCTGTACCCAAGAAAGCATCTGGTGATAAGAATGTAAAATTTAGACCTATTGCAATAACTTCACCCTTCCTCAAAACAATTGAAAAATTATTGATACTTCCACTTCAGCCCACGATAAAAGAGCATACTAATCCGTATCAGTTTGCTTACAGATGCAAAAGAAGTACCTTAGATGCCGTTGCTGTTCTGCATCACAGTATAGTGTTCAACTTGGAAAAGGGTAAGAAGTATGTTCGCTGCGCTTTTCTGGACTATACTTCTGCTTTTGATTCTATACCAAGACAACGTTTAATTAACAAGCTAATCAGCGTCAAAACTGACAGCCGGATAACCAACTGGCTATGATCCTACCTCTCTGGAAGGGAACAGTACACTGTGTTTGGAGGGAAGTGTTCAGAGAGTGCACCACAAGGAGCCGTTCTTTCACCTCTTTTCTCTTTTCTGCATGATCTGCTATCTTCCACAGTAAACACTTTTGTGAAATATGCGGATGTTCTCACTGTATGTATGCCTATCTCTGCCTCTTTACATCCCATAGAAATGAATGAGTTTTTGTCTCGTATTGATTGTTGGTCTGTTGTTAATGGTCTCATACTTAATCCGTCTAGATGTCAGATTGTTAACTTTAGCATTAGGCATGAACAGCATCTAAACTCCACTTTGGGATCCCATATTGCTTGTACCATTGGAGACTCTTTGATAAACACAGTGTCGAAGGTCAATTTTATTGGTGTTACCTTTTCCTCTGATCTCTCTTGGTCTTCTCACGTTTTATTGCTATTGAAGAAAGTTTTCCGTCTGACTTACTACATAAAGAAACTGCATGCTCTTGGGGTTACTCGTCATTTACTCTTACAATTTGTCAATTCTTGCATATTACCTATTATTCTCCATTATTCTTTCCCGGACTTTTGAGAAAAGACTTTGCTATATTGCGGAGAGTACTGAAGGCAGTTAGCAAGGTGTGTGGTGAATCTTTCGAGGTCATAATTAATATGGTTGTAAATAGACATCTCAAGTCAGGCAAACTCTTGGCAGGTGTTATTTTATCAGATACTAGCCATCCCCTTCACACTTATCTTTCTCCTTGTATATCTTCTGGTAGAACAAGACGTAATTACATTAAAATCTATGCACGCAAGCAAAATTATAAAAGTTCTATAATACCTTACCTGGCAAATATACTCTGTGACGAACAGGTTGTTAGAGTTAACCTAGTCAATAACCTGCATTCTTGACATGTCTTGAATTTGGAAAGTTGCACAGTGTTTCAGGTTTTTTAAGCTTTTTCCCTTTCTTTTTTGTCTTTGTCTTTGTTTTTTTTTGTAAAGGAAGCTTGTTTAAGTACTTTGTGCTGAAAATTGTATATTGTACCAAAATATAATATTGAATAAAGCCATTAATAATAATAATAACTGGTAGTGGTTATATAAATTCTTATTGAATACTGAAACATAGTTTGCTGAGCTAATCGCCTATTACTCTTGTAATGAACAACACACCTGTAAAACACGTAGCAAGTCTCATGAATTGATAAGTAACTTGAATATCTATATTCAGTCCACCTTGACATCCTACGTCAGTTAAATGGACATGTATGCATCATTCTAGTAAGAGATTAACTTTTCTGCACTTTTCACCAAGTTGTATGCTTCCGCTTGTATCACTTTAGCTTAAGAATTGTTTTCTTAAAATGTCTTCATATTTTACAGGGTCGTTTAAAGTCTGATTATGTCAATACTGCTATGTACTTTGCTCGCTTGGGAACGCTGTTCTGCTGTGTCGTATTCTTCTTTGCGCCAATTTTTGCCCGTTTGCACCCGTCAGATCTGGAGGTTTGGTATCGAAGAGCATTGTTAGCAAGTGCGGCGACTTCAGCCTTACGTCTACATCAACGAATAAAAAGTTTGAATACAGGTTTCTCTCGAGAAGTCCTAGAGGTCTTAATCTCTGAGGATTCTTCTCATTACTTGCTGTTTTCCATTATGTTTGCTGTATTACCACCAGTTACAGGTATCATTTTTAGGCTGTTAAATTTATGCACCTTTTTGACGCGGTATTCTTTATGATAAATATTTGTTTGCCTTGTCGCTTAAATATTTTATGAAGCGTGCTTATCTGTTTCTGCATTGTACTGCTGAACCATCCATCTAACACCACACTTTCAGTTTAATATGGTCCCAAACTACGTTTTTACACCTCACATGTTTTGATTCAAGTATGATTTTATCATCCAAAATTTTCTGTAGGACAACCAAAGTCCACATAAAAGATGCTGCTTAGTTTCAGTTTGGTATATGTGTGTATTGAGTGAATCGTGTTCCTCGAAATTTAAATTAGTACAACTTTCTTTGGTTTAATATAACCATGTATTTAATCGTAAAGTTGTGCTGTTATGCTATCAGGTCTCATGGGGGTTTGAATATTTGACGAGTATTAATATCTGAAGTCATTGATAATTAGTTTTCAGACTATGAATATTTTAGTGAGAGTTCTTTTGCTATGATTCAGTTAATAGTAAGTAAAATAAATTAGACGGATAATCAGACCAACTTGAAAATATAATAAATTAGCTTGTTTTGATCTTTTATCACTGCTGATATTGTTACTCTTACATTTTCTTTCTCTCATCGATACCCCCTTACTGTCTTGATCTCGATTGGGTATGGCTTTATATAATTCATATATATATTGTGCCATACTGTTTTTGTCCCTTTCTGCCTATCTGTCATGTTTAGGGTTCTGTAGATGCCTGGAAAGTGAGTGATTTGACTTTCAACATTGCTTCTATCTTTGAATGTTAAACGTTCTATTACACTAGTCATTCTCCGTCCCAGATTCATTCGCATTCAGTTTCAAGATTTTTTGCCTTCAATTGAATCGTGCTACTGGGACCATAATTAACGTAATTAAGTCAACTGACATGAGTTTTTTCTCGACAGTCATTACAAGATAAACCTATTAATACTTCGGATTGTTTGTTAGTGCAACCTTTACCAGTGAGACGTTCAGATCTCATTAGAGAAACTCGTAGATATTTTGGATGTATACTCAGTGCTATAGGGAAAGGTTGGAATGCTAATTTGAAACGGAGATTTCCTATCTATTTTTCAAAGCGGGATGAGTTATCTACTACTCCTGATGGTATTCTGTGTTTAAACGATCGTGTTGTCATTCCTCTTTCATTGCGTAAATCTGTTCTTGAAGATCTTCATAGTGGTCATTTAGGTGTTGAGAAAATGAAGTCCTTGGCAAGGCTCACATGCTGGTGGTCAGAGATAAATGCAGATATATGTCGTACGGCAAACAATTGTGAGAAATGTCATCAGTTGAAAAATCATCCTTCGAAGTGGGTGCCATGGCCAGTATCGTCTGAGGCCTGGCAGAGGATTCAGGCTGACTATTGTGGACCATTTCTTGGGAAATACTACGCACTAGTAGTCATTGATTCTTTTTCAAAGTGGCCTGAAGTTTTTTTTCACGACTTCACCAAATCCAGATTTCACAATACAAGCATTAAGAAAGGTGTTTAGTCGAGAAGGTGTTCCCTTGGTGTTGGTGACTGATAATGGCTCACATTTTGCTGCAGATGCAGTCACTACCTGGTTGAACGGTATAGGGTGCAAACATCTATTTGCTGCTCCCAGACATCCGTGTTCTAATGGTCAGGCAGAGAATTTTGTTAGGACATTAAAGACTGCTATTGATTCTATAGCCCCCTCAACATTTAATGAGCTGGAGAGGGGAGTAGATACCTTTCTATTGCAATATAGAAATGCCAGACATTCGGTGACGAAGGAGACTCCAGCGAAGCTATTGAAAGGAAGAATTCCTCGGTCGAATATGAGATGTCTGGAGTCTGCAGAAGTTACATACTATCGAGGAAATGATCTTCGACCATCGACGGGTATTGTTCAGAAGAATGTCGGAAAATCGATGGTGCGAATTCTAGACATCGATGACTTAAGTACACACAGTCGACATGTAGATCAAATACAATTTCAGGAACCAGGTGAGTCAGTTCCAATTTCGATTGTTAATTCTAATGCTAATGAGCATATTCTAGATAATACAGAATCCTTATCCAATATAATGTCAGACAGACTCAGGATGAATTTGAGAAGAAGACGTACGATTGATTACAAACACCTAGACTCCAATTTAAGCTGTGGCGGATGTGGTGTTTGAATGAACCAATGATACCTTTTTACTGGTTGAATGTTTGATTTCGAATTCTAAATACAATACATTCGTTTGTGCCTGTGTCTTCTTAATTCAATTGCGTTCATCCTGGAATTCCTAATTCATACGACAATTAGAATACTATATTCACTCCTTATAACTAGTTCAGGCCAGTCCTGATGCAACAACTTGCATTTAGGGAGGAGAAGCACATCCCAAACACTCTGGCATTGTTGTTCAGTGGTACCAAAAGACTGCATTTTATCAACGTCTTCACCAAACAGGACTATATCATCTGTGTATTCTGAGTCGATAAGTGGACCTGTTAAAAATATATCAATTCCTGAAAATTCAGTCGACGGGGACGTTATTTCCATCAGTAGGTCTATGATGAAGTTGAAGAGAAATGGAGAAAGTGGACAGCTTTGATGGACATTACTTAAGGTTGCGAAAGCAGATGACATTTCCCCGAAAGCTCTGACTCGACTAGTAGTGTTCGAGTAAAGAGTCTGCACGAGGTTTATGTAAATCTGAGGTACGCCTCTCAATGACAGACACTGCCACAGAATCTCGCGGTCTACAGAGTCAAATGGTGCTATAAAGTCAAGAAAGATCACCATTGTCGGACGCCGATAAGCATGCCTGTTCTAGGACCTGATGAATGGTGAATATGTGGTCGATTCAACCACGACCAGGTCTGAAGCCAGCCTAATTCTCACGAGTTTGCACTTCACTCGTCTTTGTTAGGCGTCCGGCATTTATAGAAGCTAGTATTTTAGATACTATTTATTCAAACTAATCTCTCTTTGGTTGTCACAGGATGATTTTGAATCCTTCTTATACGTTGTGGCAACCAGTGATTGTGACCAGTCAGTTGGGGTGAAGTCCAACTCCTAGATTTTAGCTAAAATATTAGCCAACCTAATCGCTAAACTGAACCAGCATACATGAAGACCTTTGGAGCCAATCCATCTTGACCAGCTTCTCTTTCTTGTTTCAAATTAGCTATAGCCATTTGATCTTCAATTAGAGTCGGGGACCTACTTCAATGTTCCATTCTGGCCGTTTGACAATGGTGGGTGGTTGTCAAGTAGCTGATGGTCAGCTGAACTATTCCTTAAAGTGTCCCGCCCTTCGCTCTAAACGCCTGAGCTGAGAGTATCGTCTTTTTCCGAGATCATCTCACTTACACTTGACTTCTTAATCCCGGTTTCTTCTATTAGTCTTTAAAGCTGTTTGGTGTTATCTACAGCCACTGCCTTTACTATGCCAGGAAATCAATAACATAGGCCATAAGCCTTCTATCGTTATCGCACAAATCTGAATCATCAACAAATGCAATTTACTAAATCAACACGTGGTTAGAGCTACATATTTCGACGCTTTCAAAAGGAAAATGGATCAACTGATTGACAACAATTGCCAGGACTAGCATACACTACCTAGTATCTTGTCCTTTCCAAAATGGAACTGACAAGATTATCAATTCTATGTTCATGGGTTTAGCTAGGCAAACGTATTTCACGGAAATTGATGGGAAAGAAATCGTAAATAATTGAATTTTTAGTCAAGGAGTGGGATTCAATCCTTCTTTCTACTTCATCATACTTGTGTTTAATAATATCAATTAGCAGCTAAGTTTGTCCTATTTTCAGATTCACTCTAGGATCAGCTGTTGCGGTGTTTTCGAATCAGTGGCACTTAAATGACAGATGAGGCGATATTCCGGTGTTTCTGTGTAAATTATGAATAAGACTCTGTGTGGTAGGTCATCTAACGAGCGACTCCATATTTTTGCGTCAGGTTTTTCCAGTATGTAAAACGTAACACTTGTTTTCGGCAGCTGCCCTTGAGGTTATAACCTTAACTTATAAGTCAATTAGCTTCACTTCAGTCATATGGTAGCTTATGAATAAAACGTCTGAATCAATACGTAATCTTTAATAAAGTCCTTTCATCATTTAAAGAACAATGGCTTGTCATGCTTGGAGGTATGTTGTATATGGTTGGATGTGAGTCACTATTTTCGTGCTAAAAATACGAAGTTTTGGAGACCAAAAATAGACCGAATAAACCCATTCAACATTGACTGATGCCGATGTTTCTTACTTTAACAATGAGAGCCACTAACCTTAAGTATCACGTCATCATTGGTAGTAATTCATACGGAGCAACGAGAATATACGTAACAATATTGTATAACGAAGGAAGATAATGATATACTAATGTTTCTGGGGTAATAAAATTTAAATTCCCCGACTGTAGCACTTTTTGTAGTTATTCAATAAGCTGATAATATGGATTAACGTATATGATAAATATGTAGTGATTTTTCTATAATTGTTTTGGTTCTCATTGCACAATTAGTAATATGACTGTGACACTGTCACCCATGGTTTTAATAAAAATCAGAGCCGGTTTTCTGTTTCTGGTAGACTATGGTGCTTACGTACGTGTCAACGTAGTAGCTTGATGCATATATTCATATTCCAGTGACCGAAACCCCTCTTTACGATGAGTTTCAAGGTGCCACAGGTATTGTGAGTTTAACGCCTTTACACATTACACCTTTTAATCGGAGTATACCAACCCAGTCAAATCAGGAGTCAGAAATAAAAGGGTTCAAATATATATTTGGGAGGCTATCGATATGTCGAGAAGCGTTTGGTCTAAGCTGGATAACAGTTGCAAGGAGTGCGTAGCATGGCGTACCCACTCGTGATCTGGTGCGGATATGTGACCGAGCACCTTCAGCCAGGTGTGTCCGGCAAAACTGACGAGGTCAGCACCAGTGTTGAAGGCTTACAGAACTACTTATTTTGGGGATTTATTTATCGCTGCAAATTATCTGTTTGTCAATCTCGTCCTTTCATATTGACGTACATAATACTTATTGTAAATGAGTTGATGCTCATTTACTCATGGCTTTCCTTCTCCGGAAGTCAGCTTTTATCTATAATTTTATTCACAAGGCATTTCGACCATGCACATCAAATTTTTTGAGTGTGTCTATATTTGTCATAATTTACTATTGTTTGGCTTTAATTGTTACTTATTAAAGTCTTGCAATGGAAAATAATGCAGTCAGTCAGTCAGCTACAGTGTAGGACCAGGCACATTTGTGTATCGGTCCAAGTTGCCATACCTCATTAGCAGAGCAGGATGAACACCGGATTCATAGTAGTTAATTCAATGGTAATATATAAAAGAAAGATAGCATATAAGGACATAGTATTTATTTATTTTAACACAGATATTGGTACAAGAAGGCACCAAATACATATGCGCCACACAAATCTTATTCGATATGTGCGAGGGCTGTGATACAGCCCGGGTGCCCAAACCGAGGCAGGTGGTTTTCTTAGGGGACCACTCCCCGAGCCTTTGACCTAGAGGTCTGATCCACAGGGCAGTGGAGCATTGTAAGGAGATGCAGTCCCATGGTAGCCGGTGACCAACGATTGGTTCATTCGCCATTTGTTCCCGCAGGATACTGGAGCCCATGTGCACCATCAGTTTGGGATCCGGTTAAAGCGCCGGACATTCGCTTTTCGTCCTCTCATTTTTGTAAATAACACCCCCGCCACGAGAATGCTGTGAGTAGGACTTCCCTGGTAGAGGCTATATACGCGTGGCCATGTGAGAGCATTTCGAGAGGGAGAGCGGACTCTCCCCACTCTCGGCCGTACCAGGACATTTGGGGGCACATAGTATAGGAAGAAAGAATTAGTTCGTGGAAAGAAGGATATGAATCAGTTTTAATCTCATAGTTTAAGGGAAGTCAAAGAGTGTATACACTTACACCATTGTGGTCGATTCCGAGCCATGTCACACAGAGTCTTCAACCATTGGTTTTGATAGTTACGTGGACCCCAACCAAGTAGTCTGCACCTACCAACATGGCCCAGACTAGACGTTAGTGACTTCAAGCACTGATGCCACGTTTTGGTTTGGCCGCCCCTAACTTTCTTTCAACCATCCCCAACACCGGTTAGCATTGCACGTCGTGGTAATCGGTGCTCAGGCATACACAACACGTGGCTCAACCATCTCAGTCGATGAAGATTCACAACCTCACCAACTGATTTTCCATCATTCCCTAATACCCTGCATCTAACGTCACCAATACTTACCCGGTGATCCCAGCAGATGCGAGCAATATTTCTAAGGCATCTGTGGTCGAATACTAGTAGCTTACCAATATCTTCTACTCTTAATGCCCATGTTTCGCAGCCGTAAAGTAGAACAGAATGAACTGCCACGCAGTATACTCGTTTTTTTATTGATAGACGAATATCTCGCTTTCTCCATAGGTGACGTAAGTTGGCAAAAGCCAAAGGAGGTTTTTGGATGTATACAGAGATTTCGTTAGACACCAACCCATTAGGGGTGATCAGACTTCCAAGGTAAGCGAAGTTGTCGACGCTTTCGACTACTTCACTCCTTATAACTAGTTCAGGCCAGTCCTGATGCAACAACTTGCATTTAGGGAGGAGAAGCACATCCCAAACACTCTGGCATTGTTGTTCAGTGGTACCAAAAGACTGCATTTTATCAACGTCTTCACCAAACAGGACTATATCATCTGTGTATTCTGAGTCGATAAGTGGACCTGTTAAAAATATATCAATTCCTGAAAATTCAGTCGACGGGGACGTTATTTCCATCAGTAGGTCTATGATGAAGTTGAAGAGAAATGGAGAAAGTGGACAGCTTTGATGGACATTACTTAAGGTTACGAAAGCAGATGACATTTCCCCGAAAGCTCTGACTCGACTAGTAGTGTTCGAGTAAAGAGTCTGCACGAGGTTTATGTAAATCTGAGGTACGCCTCTCAATGACAGACACTGCCACAGAATCTCGCGGTCTACAGAGTCAAATGGTGCTATAAAGTCAAGAAAGATCACCATTGTCGGACGCCGATAAGCATGCCTGTTCTAGGACCTGATGAATGGTGAATATGTGGTCGATTCAACCACGACCAGGTCTGAAGCCAGCCTAATTCTCACGAGTTTGCACTTCACTCGTCTTTGTTAGGCGTCCGGCATTTTTAGATGCTATTTTAGTCAAACCTGACAAGGTGAGGTCAAGTGAATGACCACATTAGGATCCTGTATGCGTGTTTCGAAGACACAGCATACATCAATTGTACGAGATTCTAGGGTTTTAGCTGAGGAGGCCCGCTAATCGATTTGACATGGGGTGCGTATGTTGAAGGCTCCAATGTGTAGTTCGGAGCGAGGTTTCATTAGCCCTGGACAGTGTTTTGCACACTAGAATCATTGACCATGTTGACACTTGAGAAGGAGGTTCAGAGTTTGAAAGCCGAGGTAGGAGGAATAATAGAAATTGGAGAGGGAGATTAAATATAAGTACAGTGATCTCGAGTGCTATTAGAGGTTTGAGGGCGATTATCACTTCCCGATTGGCCACAACGTGGAACGGTTCTTCTTGAGGTACTTGAAAATGAAATTACGTATGAGGTGGTCTTAGTGACCCGTGAGCGTGACCGCAGTGTCCAAGGTACAACTGCTTGAGGTCGGTCACACACGACCTTTTTGTGAGTAATATTCGTGTTAGTTCCATACTTGTTGAAACCTTACCACCGGAGTCGGAAATCTGGGATAAGACGAGGTGTCCATTTTCAGGACCAATCTTCTCTAACCCCATCTTTCATTGTGTACAGGCAGCATCGCTGTCATGCTGGTTGTCTGAAGGAAACGTCTTACTACCGTCGCACCTCTGTACAGCCAGAAGTAGGACTTCACTCTCAGACCCTGGTTTCGCTGCTTCTGGTCTTACCGCTCTTCAACCGACCTGTCTGGCATGGTAGGACCTTGAGAAGCGATTGTTCCAGTCAATACAGCTCGATTGCTTCATCACGATAGGCAAGCTCGACCACCATGTCAAGGTAGCAATAACAGTCGGGCATCAAATTTCTGGTCTAGAATATCTGCACAACTTGCTGAGGCTAATCCAATCAGATAATAAGCTAAGATAATATTTCCTGAGAACTCAAAAGTAATGTATGTTGTTTCTAGACTAACTTTGCGATGATGTTGATTGGTAAACCAATCATCCTTAGGGAATACCAGCTTATGTTCCTCATCACAACCAAGTAGTTTATAATTCTCGTCATTGAAATGTAATTAAACTCTGTAGGAAGCCTAGAACTTCTAGAACAAATATGACTAAAAATCACTCCAATTTGACATTTATAAGTTGTTTAAACTTGAAGCCTGCTTCATTTATTCTACATATTTATAGAAAGCTGAGTAAAATGTGTATAATTGGTGTAAATCAATATCACATTTTTATCGGTCGCTGGTGATATTCTCGTGACGTGTTCTATTTTTCAGAGTCAATTAGATGGTATGTCAGTCAAATAAAGGGATCAAATCCTGAAGACATAGCTGATGGTAGGTTTCCCTTCGTACCCAATGAATCGGTTACTTAGGTGATAACTTTACGTGTGTCGAGTTTAATGAGTCCGGAGAATTGTTAGCTACTGGTGATAAAGCAGGTCGTGTTACGGTTTTTAAGAATAATAAAGATGTAGGTTTTTCTTTATCTTCACTATCAGTTTTCACTCTTAATCAGACTGGATTATATGATATTTATTGCACATTTACGAGTCATGAACCAGAATTCGATTACTTAAAATCTCTGGAGATCGAAGAGAAGATTAATTCAATTACTTGGCTTCAAGCATATTCTTCTGCTCATCATCTTCTTTCAGCTAATGGTAAGTGTATGTTGATGTGTTTGATATGCTTGATTAATTCGGCTGAAAATAGTGAGGTGATGTAATTTAGTTAATAGTTCTTTCGTCATTGGCGTAAACAAATTGTTGTATGTAGGTGCATATGTAGACATATAAGCTTGGAAACGGATTTTCTGAATACGGGAGAAGTAAATAGAATTTTTGAAGAATTTTGTAGGAATAACTGAAGATCGGTCAGTGATGTATCTGGATTCACTCTTGATTTATTGTCTCTCCATATTTTGAGCTTAGGATTGTCTTATGCCTAGTTCATAAGAAGCCATCCCAAAGATCTTGATTTATCGACATACACGAATTCATTGTGATTATCATTTACTGGATAGCTCCAGGTCAGTCAATCAGTCAGCTATAACGTAGGACCAGGGTCGACCTTTTCTAACCCCACCCCTCCTTGTGGGAAGGCAGCATCGCTGCCATGCTGGTTGTCTGAAGGAAACATCTTACTGCTGTCACACCTCTATACAGTCAGCAGTAGGACTTCGCCTTCGGACCTTGGGTTTGTTGCTTTTAGTCTTACCGCTCTTCAACCGACCTGTCTGACATGGTAGGACCTTGAGGAACGGTTGTTCCAGCCAGTATAGCTCGGTTGCTTCATCACGATAGGCAAGCCCGACCACCACGTCAAGGTAGCAACAACGGTCGGGATAGCTCCAGGTAATAAACTGTCTTTCACCAATCTCTGATTATTCGGACTAGTTTCCTCTGATAGTCCCGAAGGACTCTATTATTACATGTCCCCACTGTTTTGAACTCTCATTACCCGTCATTACTCATGACCGTTGTGTAGAATTTTGTCAACGTACATGTATGTGTTGTATGTTAGTTTGTTGTTGAATATGTGAAAATATGAGAGCAAGCATTGATTAAAGAATCTCGTAACTAATTAAAATGAAGTTTTTACTGATACAAGCTAATGCCCATAAACACTTATAAACAACAAGTTTTTCCACGTAGATGTTTTAATCAATTTAGAATTTACTAGTTTGGACGTTGAGTTAATGACCTGAGACTATGCTATAACTTATAACTCGTCATAACCTTTCGGGATACTTCATCTTTGTGTATAGTCTATCGAGATTAAATGAAATTTAGGTGTATTTATTGTAAACTGAGTCGAGGCACACACATTAAAGACAACAAATATATAGTCGTTCGAGTGTTTAATCGACTCATTACTTAAATACTGTTCTTGTGGCTCTCATTTCTTAGTAGCTTGAGTTCTGTTTTCTGAGTGATTATTTATTACATCAAAGCTTGCTTCAGTTTCAGCAAAAGTATTTTCCTACATTGTACCAACCACTAGATACTTTGTAATGTTTTTGCTCTCTCATCTACTTTGAAATTCAGTGTTACATAAATCCTGTTTTATTTCCTGTGAATAGTTTCATATTCTTTTCACTGTTATTTAGATAAAACCATTAAACTGTGGAGATTATCAGAAAGACACTATGAAGCATATAATTTTAATATACGTGACGATGAGAATGCTAGTTTATGGGATGAAAGCTCGGATCGACTGAATATGATCGGACCACCAATTCCTCACATAATTACTCCAGATAAACTGCGTATTCCGAAGTTTCGTAAATCTCGTCATCTTACAATCGAAGCCCGCCCACAACGTTTTTTTGCCAATGCTCATGCTTATCATATAAATGCGGTTTCTGTAAATTCTGATCAAGAAACATTTCTTTCGGCTGACGATTTACGCATTAATCTTTGGCATTTAGATGTGACCAATCAGTCATTTAGTATGTTTATTTACTAATTTTAAATTTCTAGAATTATATATCCATAATTAATAATAAATGGACTTTTCCTGTATTTTTTTAATCTCAAATAATCTCGGTCAATGTAGACCATGATTCGAACATACAGATTCAGCCCAGGTTCCCTCATCACAATGTGAGATTAACCAGATGTGTAGCAAGGAAGTTTAAATAATATTAGTGTTATTGATAATAAAACTAGATATGGGGAATATAGTCAGAAAAGGAATGGAATAAATGAATGTAAAATATGAAATAGCGCCAAAACTTAGAGTCTAGGAGGAAGTACAAAATAAATACATCCATATCACTGAAGCTAATTTCGAATCATATCACAAATTTTACCATCTTTCATTTTTTAGGCAACAATTGCATTTTAATACATTTATTTGTGCTATTCATTCAACACTTTATTTGGAAGGAAGTTAGTTCCCCGATACTCCTTCGTATTCATACTTATGTATAAAGTCACTAATTTTCCATTTTAAATTATGTTATTTGGTGCTTTTTTACTGTACAGCTTTTATGAAAGTCAAATGTTTACTTTTCCATTTCAAGATTTGAAACCGAAGGTCCAGCTGCTAATTGTGGAACTAAAAAATGACTAGTGCTCTAGGCTCCTAACAATCGAAACAGAAAGCCTTATTTTATGTTTTCTGAAGCGAGTTTCTCTTCTTAATTACTATAATCAGTTGATAAACATATGGGATGTCTTATTATCTTCTGCATAATTCCGTTTAAGTGTGCATGAATTTAATGAATAGTCCTATTGCTTGATAAGTCAGTATTTCTTGCCGAATAGGGAATGTGATACTATGCCCAGAGATTAGGCCCAGCAGTTAGATCTTGATTAGAGAATTAGTGACCTACGAACTGATTTTCTCCAACCGCCTGTAAAGTTTTATGCCCTGGTATGGCCGAGAGCGGGGTGGGTCCGCCCTCCCTCTTGAAATACTCTCACACGGCCGCGCGTATATAGCCTCTGTCAGGAAAGTCCTACTCACAGCATTCTCGTGGCGGGGGTGTTGTTTACGAAAATGAGAGGACGAAAAGCGAATGTCCGGCGCTTTAACCGGGTCACAAACTAATGGTGCACATGGGCTCCAGCACCCTGCGGGAACAAGTGGCGTATGAACCAATCGTTGGTCACCGGCTACCATGGGACTGCATCTCCTTACGATGCTCCACTGCCTTGTGGGTTAGACCTTTAGGTCAAAGACCCGGGGTGTGGCCCCCTAAGATAACCAACCATCTGCTCGGTCTGGGCACCCGGGCAGTATTACAGCCCACACACAAATGATGAACTGTCTATAATTATGGCAACTACTTTTCTTGCTTCAAATAACAATCAAATGATTCAAATTATTATCATTACTATTATTGTTATTATTATTACTATTATTATTTACTACGACATTATTCACCCTCTTATATTCCTACTCTGTCTGTACTTATTTTTTCGACTTATACAGCAGCTCGTCTTTGGTGGAAATTCGACTCTATCTAGACGTTCTGGAGTCACTGTCCGGTTGAAAATTGTATGTTACCGTCGAATATGAGTACTGAAACAGTTTTTCTGAAACCACGTGCACCATTCAAACTGGCTGCCTTCAACGTTCGCACACTTATGCAGGTTGGACAACAGATAGGGCTGGCTATGTCTTTAGAAGGTCTTAATATCGATGTTTGCTGTCTATCTGAGACCCGTATTCAAGACTGGTGAAGTACTACAAATTCGCTCTTCATCTGTCGCTTCGAAAAGCTTGTTTCACGTGCGCTTATCCGGGGACCCTGTGGCATCTCCGTCTGGTCTTGCTGGCGTTGGTATCGCACTAAGCGCTAGAGCTGAGGCAGCACTAATCGATTGGGTCCCCATTAACAGTCGGTTATGTGCTGTTAGATTAGAGAGTTCCATTAAAGTGAGAAGAAATCGACGTGAGAAAAGATGTCTTTTCGTCATCTCCGCCTATGTTCCGACAGATTGCAGCCCGGATGCAATCAAGGATGAATTCTACCACCAATTATCTATTCTTCTCCAGAAAGTGCGTTCGACAGATATTGTAGTACTAGCCGGAGACTTGAATGCTCAGGTCGGGCGTCTAGGCACAGAAGAGAGTCGTTTAAGTGACCGAAGGGGACTTGTTGGTCGCGGGACAGATAACGGGGACCGTCTACTGCAACTATGCACAGGCCACAACCTGTTTCTGGCTAGCACTAACTTTCGGCACAGTCATCACCGATGTGCCACCTGGCGTCTCCCTTCTGCATCTCAAGCCTGGACTCAGATTGATCACATCGCGATCAGCTACCACTGGCGTGGTTGTGTACAAAACTGCCACTCCCTTTGGAGTACCTATCTGGACTCTGACCATGCCCTGGTCTGCACCAATCTTACCTTACTCTTCAGTGGCCAACGAAGTGACCATCACGAAGGGTTTGATGTCAGCAAGTTGGTTGCAACTTCTGTTGCAAGTAAGTATCGAACCGAGCTAGCTTCTAGGCTAGCTACCATTCCACCGAAAAGTATAGATGAGCATTGGTTGCAACTTCATGACGCCATGAAAATGGCTGGTACAGTCAGTTGTGGATTCGCAAAACGTCCCGCTTATAAGCACTGGGTTTCTTTAGTTTCCTTACAACTCATTGAAGCCCGTCGGTCTACTCCGGGTGACCGTGAGTTTGACCACAAACGAAGGATATTACGTAATGAAATCGGTCAAGGTTTGCGTAAGGACCGAAAAGCATGGTGGTCGGAGCGTGCTAATGAGCTAGAAGCAGCAGCTGCATCTGGCAATTACCGGAAGCTCTTCCAACTCATCCGAGCCACTGGCAGCAAGAAGTCTGGTGTGAGCGAAACAATCTGTGAGGAGGACGGGATGCCAATCACTAACATCTATCAACGTCTTGGACGATGGGCAGAATTTTTTGAAGGGCAGTTCAACTGGTCTGCTGCTCCGGCAACATCGGTCAGACTGTCCTGCCCTCCATGGCCGGTGACGACTGATCCACCAACTGAGGCGGAAGTCCGCAAGGAACTCCAACTCTTGAAACACTACAAATCACCTGGCCCAGATAACTTACCTCCGGCTCTTTTTAAAGATGGTGGTGACTTTCTGACTAAGGAATTGACGACGTTGTTTACAAAGGTTAGGGAGATAGAGAGTGTACCAACGTCATGGAATGAGTCGATAGTTGTCCCTATCTTTAAAAAGGGTTAACGTCGTTCCTGTAACAACTATCGGCGGATAAGTCTACTTCCGATTGCGTCCAAGCTATTGGCTTCCGTCATACTTCGTAGGTTGTTCAAAACCCGAGAAAGATTGACTTGCGAGGAGCAGGCTAGTTTCCGTTCTGGTCGAGGTTGTATTGATCATATCTTCACCCTCTGCCAAATGTTAGGTTCTATTGCCGCCCCAACATTTAATGAGCTGGAGAGGGAAGTAGATACTTTTTTACTGCAAAATAGAAATGCCAAACATTCTGTGATGAAAGAGACTCCATCAAAGCTATTAAAAGGATGAATTCTTCGGTCGAATATGAGATGTTTGGAGTCTGCAGAAGTTACATATTATGATGGAAATGATCTTCGACCATCCACGGGGATTGTTCTGAAGAATGTCGGGAAATCTATGGTGCGAATTCTAGATATCGATGACTTAAGTACACATGATCGACATGTTGATGTGGTGTTTGAATGAACTGATGATTCCTTTGTAATTGTTGAATGCTTGGTTTCGAATTTCAAATACAGTACACTCGTTCGTGTTTGTCTCAGATTTTATTGAGATGCTCTGTAATTTTGTGTCAAATACATTCGATTGTCCCCACTAGTGTTCTGTTCATTACAGTACTTCTTGATTTAGTTGTGTTATTTCTGGGATTCTATGTTTATACTATAATTCAAATACTCCCAATCATCATATGATCATATATTCACCCTCCGCCAGTTGCTAGAACACCGCCATACTTATCAAAGGCCAACAATCGTAGTGTTTCTTGACATCAGGGCTGCCTTCGATTCGTTGGATAGGACTGTTCTGTGGGATTGCCTATTGAAGAAGGGTGTGCCTGAGAAGTTTATTAACATCCTAAAAGCCCTATATACAAACACCTCAGGCAGAGTGAGGGCATACAACCACCTCTCTCCATTGTTCCATTCGTGCAGTGGGGTTAGGCAGGGTTGCCCAATCTCACCATTCCTCTTCAACTTCACCATTGTTGACATTCTGGAAACAGCTCTGATGGTTGTGTGTAATGGTGGTATGGACCTGTTGCCTGAAGAAAGATTCCTCAACCATGAGTATGCGGATGATATTGTCTTACTGTGTGATAATGCCCAAGCCATGCAATCCTCACTCAATCAGTCGGCAATCAATGTCCGTAGGTATGGTATGTGCTTCGCACCTTCGAAGTGCAAAGTACTTCTACAAGACTGGCAGGATTCCAATCCTGTACTCACCCTGGATGGTGAGCAGATAGACGTATTTGAGAAGTTCGTGTATCTTGGTAGCTACATAAGTGCTGGTGGGGGTGTGAGTGATGAGATCAATGCACGTATAGTGAAAGCCAGAGCGGCTTATGCCAATCTGGGTCATCTTTGGCGCCTTCGTGATGTTAGTCTGGCTGTAAAAGGTCGGACCTACAACGCTTCGATAAGAGCAGTTTTGCTCTATGCTTGTGAAACCTGGCCTCTCCGAGTTGAGGACGTTAGACGACTTTCTTAGTTCGATCATCGTTGTCTCCAAAGGATTGCTGACACCCAGTGGCAACACCATGTTAGTAATGCAGAGGTTCGGCATCGTGTGTCCGGGCACAGAGTCGATAATGCAATTGGTGTCACCATCTTGAAACATCGACTTCGGTGACTTGGACATGTTCTATGAATGCCCTCCCAGAGAAGTCCATGTCGTGCATTATTTGCCGACTCTGGGGCTGGTTGGAAAAAGCGGAGAGGTGGTCAGTATATGACATAGTATCGTGGCATGAAAGAAAGCTGCAAAGGACTGGCTTGTGTTGGTCCTTCACGACTCCCTGGCTGGAGTCCGAGAGATGGTGCTACACAGTGGCTAGAGACGTTATCAGATATGGCTCAGAATAGAAGCCAGTGGCGATCCTACTGTAACCTTCTTTTGCTTACTTCATAAAAAAAAGTGATTGTATCTTCCTTAACTGAAAGATTTCTTCTGATTGAACCCTTTCGTTCCCCCATTTTTTACCGTTATTATTATTACACCACCTTGCATCGATCTCTTCGTTATTATTCTCTCTTGTTTTTTCCTTCCCCTTAAATTCTCATTGTTTTGTGTGGCGCATTCTTGTACCAATATTTATGTGTTCAAATAAATAAATAAATAATAAAATAAATTTTCATATTCTTTAGATAAAGATGTTATTTTATTTCTTAAAACACATTTGGTTAGTGGTCTTATCTCTTGCCTTTGACTTCCAATTATTCGGAGACTTAATTCAAGAATACGGTTTCGTGAGTAGTCATCGCTTGACCGTATAATACTATTGAGTGCATTCATCGGTTAGCATTCTGTTCATTGATTTTAATAATAGGAAATTTCGTCTAAATAAATCACGGCAAACTTCCTCCATAACAGAATGGAATATAATATCTCTTAAGTTTTTGCTAAAATATTGATTGAAACATTGTTGTATGAGTCCTAGCGAGCTGAATTACTAACAATATCCTCTTTTTATAAAGAATTTGCTTAAGTGCGGATGAAAAGTACAGATAGCACTATGGATAATTGAACTTAGTCGGTTTATCCAAATGTCGGAACAGATTCAATGATTTATTCCAAAGCATATCAAACAAATATCTTCTTTCTTTTATATAGTTTATTTATCGATTTAATAAAACAACAGCCGGTTATGCGTGCATATAGTAGTGATTCAAGTATAGAGCAGATTTTCTAATAAATGTATATGTTCAGCAACCTAGTTATCTGGAATTATGGTTTAAATCTTGATAAACTTTAAGTTACTTATGTAGTCATGCTTATATTTTTGTGTTTCAGTTTTCAGTGTCCTCTCTAAAATGGCCAATCAGTGCTTATTATTAGTGTTAATAAATAACTATTTCTTGGCGTAACAATTAAAAGGTAGTCATAACTCTCGCTGTATATTGTTCGAAACATAACTAAATCTAGGTCTTGTTCACGTTTGTACTCAAACTCCAAGTAATTTCAACTTTATTCAGGTGAAATAGCATTTTATACTGACTTGTTTAATAAACAGGAATCACTGTGAATTATTGAGTAATGGAAAAATAAAGAAAGTCAAAGTGATTAAATTGAATTTAGAAACTAGTTTGAGTGTGAATAAGTGTTACAGTTCGAATGTAATCATACTAAACTGGTGTACTCCAAAGGCTAAATAATTGGGGTTCAAAAACAAGGAATAAATTATTGTTTTCAATAAATTATTTTTCAAACTTAACAGTTACAAATCCTCAAATTGTGCTAGTATATGTGGTCAGAATAGGACAGCATGTAACATTGTACAGTTTTAGCCACAGTTCGCACTATCGTATGATTCAGTGGTTTGAACAGGTTATGAATAAAAAGCCTATCATCAATAGTCCTGACTGCATCACTTTTTCTCCCTATTCTTTTAATTGTTAATACTCTCGTTGTTTTGATTTACTGTTTTCTAGCTATTGTCGATTTAAAACCGTCAAATATGGAGGATTTAAGTGAAGTCATTACTTGTTCACGGTTTCACCCTGTTCAGTGTAATATACTAGCCTATTCAACTAGTCGAGGTTTGATTCGGTTATGTGATATGCGATATCGTGCTCTATGTGACGATCATGTACTTGGTAAGCTGTTCCATACATAATGAAGTCGATTTACGTGTAAAATGTAGATATATACATGGTATAATGCTTATATTTTCAGATTGTCACTCTATGATAATTGAAATATTAATTCATTAAAGCCGTAAATTTTTTAAAGTGTCCTGAAACCCTGATTCTTTCTTACTCCTTAACTTGTGAAATGTACATGGTCAATGTGTGTTCACTAAAGGTATCATGGCATTAATCTTACATAATTACTCTACAGTCTCGACGAAATACCGTACAAGTAACTCACTACTATCACAGTTTTTGTTAGTTTGTATGTTTACTCAAGAACTCTTGTCTTGCAAAAAATCTCCGAGTATATGGAAACTCTTTAAAGAACTTACAGGTGACAGACAGTTTAAAAGCGATAACCAGCTGAATGTTTGTGACTTAAATAAATCTTTTGTACGTCAGTCATCTGATGTGATGCTCCCTCTATCCACGGGTTTAAATAATAGCTGTGTTCCTACTTTCACTGAGACTGATGTACGAAGATGTCTCCAGTCGCTTAATTCATCTCGATGTTTGGGACCTGATGGTATCCCAAACATCCTTTTTAAAAAGTGTGCTGACATCCTATGTTATCCGTTCACAGCTATCTTTAACAGATCCTTCTCATCTAATCTCATACCGAAAATGTGGAGAAAGATGAAGATAATTCCTGTACCCAAGAAAGCATCTGGTGATAAGAATGTAAAATTTAGACCTATTGCAATAACTTCACCCTTCCTCAAAACAATTGAAAAATTATTGATACTTCCACTTCAGCCCACGATAAAAGAGCATACTAATCCGTATCAGTTTGCTTACAGATGCAAAAGAAGTACCTTAGATGCCGTTGCTGTTCTGCATCACAGTATAGTGTTCAACTTGGAAAAGGGTAAGAAGTATGTTCGCTGCGCTTTTCTGGACCTATTTCAGGTCCAACTTTATTTGTGGATCAATTTGATTCGTTGATATGACATATAAAAGCAATGCTTAATGATTGTTTCTCATGAAATAACTAAAATAGTTCGTCAGTCTAGTAAAAATCTGTCAGGAATCGAAGTTCTTATAAATTCGATGCAGAGGTCTGAGAAGTCAACTTTAATATTTGAACCCTATTGATATGAATTATTTACCCAGGATTTTTGCACATTTGGATTTCGTTCTGTTTGGACTCGTCAGCTAGATCTACGTAAAACTCAGTGTTGATGGGCAAAGTTAGGCTTAAACCCATTTTTTTATTAATTCAAACTCGAAAGCGCTGTTGTCTAAGCTACTAGGACCAGATAGCCAATAATTTTATATCGGATTAGAATTAACAAAGATTAAACTTCTAGACAGGCAAAGATTCTCACTCAAATGCCCTGATACGCCCGAGAGTGGGGAGAGTCAGCTCTCTCTTTGAATGCTCTCACATGACCGAGTACATACCACTGCCAGGGAAGTCCTACTCATTGCCTTCTCGCAGCAGGGGCGTTGTTTACGAAATTGAGAGAACAAAAAGCGAATGTTCAGCGCTTTAACAATAACGACTGATAGATTACTTTTCTCTTCTTTAATGCCCGAAGAATCAACTAGTTTGGCGGCAATCGACGCCACATCAGAGCCACTGTTCTAATAGGTATATGCTTCTTCAGATGAGTATAGTCTGTGGACCCTGATTAAGTTGATGCCTTTATAAAATCCGTTTGTCTTGAACACTGCACTTGTTGGTGAGAGGAAGGTCATCAACTGAACAGAAAGTCATCAGTCCGACAACCATAAAAAGAAATAATCACTATGCAAATGTGTCAAGGAACTTTACCATCACCGCCTCAATCACAAGAAGCCCAACAGGAAACAGACACTTTTGTGTTCTTATGGAATCATAACAACTAAAGTGCTTAATACATTATGTTTCTTCTCAAGGATTTTTATAGTCTCTTCGTCGACGTTCAGACTGAGTTTTCTTTGGAATTCATTCCTGAATACCAACAATAAGTATAATACATATCCTTCCGAATGTTTGCCATCATACCACTTGATTAAAGGTTTCTTTTTTATTTATTCTACCGAACACTGACAACTTTACCTGCCTAGTTGACTTTTACGTATTTTAGTGTTTGAGGATCCAAGTCTTTCACAAAATCTGGGATTTTTCGCCGATATTATTGCAAGTTTATCGGATTTTCGCTTCGGTCATACTGGAAATTATCTTTTAGCCAGAGATTATTTAACATTGAAAAGTGAGTGAAACCATATATATATATATATATATATATATTGTTTGGATATTAGTAATGTCAGTATCATTTTTCGAAGGCATCTTGGTTTTCTTAGATTTACAGTTACGATGTAATTACATTTGTATTGTGGCTTGTCAGCTGAATGTGGTCCCATGCCATTATTATTCATTTTCACATGGAGACTCGAGTTTATTACCTGTCGCTCCAACCATCAACACTTTATCCAATTAGTTATCATTAAATAAAGACTTACGGCAATTTATTATTGAATATCAATGGCCAGATAATATGCAAACTTAAATGATGAATCCCAAATATAATAACACATAAAGCAAAAAGACTATTTCGAACCATAGGCTAAGGATACATATAATAAACATAAGTCAACAAATTCTCGAAATATTGCAATCCTGAATATCGAAAAACTGGATATTCACTTGGTGTTGTTTACTTGTAACTTGCCATTGTTATTTAGGACTGCAAATGATCAGTCTCTTGTTGGCATATATGCATCCTGTGCGGACTGCCTCGATATTGCTTGAAGTCACAAGCTTTATAAGCAAAGATGGGTAACAATGGATTCCAGGACGCACGTTTCGTCCTATTTGGGACTCGTCAGCTCGATGTACCTGCATCTCAGAGTTCATGTTCACTCTGGGACTCGAACTCAGTACCGTCCGCTTCAAACGCCATCGCGTTATCCACTTAGCTACTGAGTCTTGATAGCTCTGGGTAGTTCCAAACTCCTATGAATAAGTTACATTTCTAGTTTTACACCTCTACTTTTACTGTAGTTTGTTGATTAGGTAAAATGGGTTCATACATGGTAGTGTGATTATCCAAAGTGTAGAAGTATACGTATTCTTGTTTAATTTTGTTGTCATTATAACACAATCAGTGTTGTAGTAACCTGATTGAATACTGATTTATCTAAGATAGTTGTATTGATAATTATTTACCGAACTGAGCTTCGAATCTAAACCGAATAAATTGTTAAAAGTGAAACCACTAGCGGAAGATTGGGTAATAATTTGTATATATATGTATATGTCCTTCCGGGTTTATGGGACCATTTGCTGACGAAATATTAAATGAATATAACATGCCTGCGAGTTAGGTGTTGGTCGACAATCCAATATATGCATAAGATAAGCAAAGGTTACATAAAACGACCAATTTTTTATTGATTCCAGCTTAACACAATTATTCGTTAAATAATACGTTTATCAATAATGTAAGTAATTTTATGGTTAACTACATACCAAGAGTACTTATTCACCAGTCTTGAAAGAACAGTTTATTTCAGATTTTTTTCAAGTTTAAAACTGTTCTCTTCTCAGTAGCTTAATAATTCGGATTTTTCTTTTCGGACATGAGCTTGGTAAATCTGACACACAGTGTAATATAATATGATTGTATTAGAGAGTTATTCTACCTATTGTAATAATCACAGACTGTCGTATTTGTTTGTTCTTGCTACATTTTAATCTAAAAAGAAAGAAAGTAGAAGAAAAGTGTTTATGTATGTATTACACGTAACAATATAATAATAAAAATAAAGGTAATAATATTCTCCTAAAGACACTTACAACATTTTTTTGATGTTTCATTCTCTGAGCTGGATGGTTTGGTCTTGGAGCTTTCAGTTAGACTTCTACCTGAAGTTTGTGCTGATAATGTCGTTCAGAAAGACGATGAAAGCTCCACCACCAAACCATCCAGCTCAGAGAACAAAATTCCATCAAAATCATCCATCTGAGCTACAAATCTTCACCATCTCACAATTACAACATGCATACCAAATTATAGGCATGATTAGGTTGATGCACAATGGATTCAAACTTCGCCTGTAGCTCTTCCAGAGTTACTGCTCGTCCCAAGCCCCGAGTAAAGGAGCAGGGTTGGGCATAGGGTCGGCGACCCCATTCCTTAGAAAACAAACTTTCTAAAAAACTCTAACCAGAATAAACAATTTAAACCACTTAAATTCTCCCCTGGGAGTTGAAGGAAGAATTATGACGCCTCATGATGAAGGCCGAGATTCTTCGGAAGTCACAAGGTCGATGCCCCTCCTAACAACCAGAGCAACAATTTTTATAGGTACATGGAACGTGGGAGACCGGGAAGACTAGTCAAATAGCAACGGAAATGAGAACGTGAAAATCAGGAGGGGATCTGACATAGCTCCAGGTCACCACCTGGTGGTTGCCAAGACGAAACTGAAGCTAAAGAAGCACAAGAAAACGGGAGAAGTAGTATTGCAGCCTTCCTTTGAGTTACTAACAAACTCAACGAATCCAACATAACTCACCGCAACACGTTCCAAGTCTTACAAGATCTACTCTGGAAAGAGGAAATTACCATAGAGAATAAATGGAAAGTCATCAAATAAGCACTGACTTCAACATGTCAGAAGGTTCTGGATAACAAGAAGCATCATCATAAAGAATGGACCTATATGGAAACCCTGAGAAAAATTCGAGAAAGGAGGAACAAAAAGACAGCATTTAACAACGGCCAAACAAGAACAGAGCAAGCCAAGGCGCAAGCTGAGTATACTGAGGCAAACAAGAAAGTGAGGAAGAGAATTAGAAGTGGCAAGAAAAATACATGAAAGAGCTAGCAGCGACAGCGGAAGAAGCTTCAATAAAGGGAAATATGAAAAAATTATATGACACAACGAAGAAACTAACAGGGGAATATAGTAAACCAGAGAGGACAAGAAGAAAAGCCAATCATTGAAATTCAAGGACAGAGGAACAGATGGGTGGAACACTTCGAGGAACTGTCCAATAGACCAGGTTCTTTGAATCCACCGGATATCGAAGCAGCACCTACAGACTTTCCTATAGATGTCACTCCACCGATGATGGAAGAAATCAGGATGACCATCAGACAAATCAGGAGCGGGCAAGCAGCAGAACTTGACAGTATACCAGCCGAATGGCTGAAGTCAGACATAGAATTAACTGAAAGTATGCTCCACGTTCTATTCAGAAAGATTTGGGAGGAAGAACAAGTGCCGACAGACTGGAAAACAGGATACCTCATCAATATATCAAAGAAACGAGATCTGAGCAAATGTGAGAACTACAGTGGCATCACATTACTGTCAGTACGTGAAAAGATTTTCAACAGATTGTTGTTGAACCGCATAAAAGACTTAGTAGATACCCAACTTAGAGATCAACAGGCTGGATTCCGTAACTATCGATCGTGCACAGACCAAATCATGACATTACGGATCATCGTTGAACAATCAATTGAATGGAACACGTCACCGTACATAAACTTCATTGACTATGAAAAGGCATTTGACAGTTTGGTTAGGAGAACTTTATGGAACCTTCTTCGACACTATAATGTACCTGAGAAAATCGTCAATATCATACGGAATTCATACGACGGACTACAGTGCAAAGTGGTGCGTGGAGGACAGCTGACAACAGATTCATTCTAAGTGGAAACCGGAGTCAGACAAGGCTGCTTACTCTATCCCTTCATCTTTCTTTTGGTGGTTAACTGAATTACGAAGACCTCCACATCTGAGGGGAAGCACGGAATACAACGGACAGCTTGGGTACAACTAGACGATTTGGACTTCTCAGATGACCTGAGCCCTCTATCCCATACAAATCAACAAATTCAGGTCAAGGCAGCTAGTGTGACAGTAGCCTGTGAATCAGTAGGCCCCAACGTACATTAGGGAAATAGTGAGATCCTCAAATACAACACGGAGAACACCAACTCAATCACACTTGATGGAGAAACTCTGGAAGATGTGGAACGTTTCACGTATCTGAGTGGCATCATCGATGAACATGGAGGATTTGATGTAGATGTGAAGGTGAGGATCGGCAACGCAAGGACAGCATTTCTACAAATGGAGGACATCTTTAACTCGAAACAACTGTCAACCAATATCAAAGTCAGTATCTTCAATACGAACGTCAAGACAGTTCTACTTGGAAAACTACTATAACTGTCGTCAAAATCGTACAAGTATTTCTAAATAATTGTCTACGTAAGATGCTGAATGTCCTCTGGCTGGATGTCGTCAGCAACAGCCCAATATGGCAGAGAACAAACCAACTTCGAGCTGAGGAGGAAAGTAGAAAAGGATGTTGGAAGTGGATAGGACACACCTTGAGGAAATCATCAAACTGCATCACGAGGCAAGCCCTGGCTTGGAATCCTGAAGGGAAACGGAAAAGAGGAAGGCCAAAGAACATACTGCGTCGGGAATCGAAAACAGACATGAAAAGAATAAATAGCAACTAGAAAGAACTGGAATGGATTGCCCAGGACAGGGTTGCATGGAGAATGCTGGTGAGCATCCTATGCTTCTACATGACGGGTAACAGTTGTAAGTAAGTAACAACGGATGCAACATTCCAGTAGTCAAAATTTACAACTGCACGTCAAACAATTGTTAAAACAATATATTTAAGAGGACAGTATTGTTTCCAATTGGACACCATGAACATTTATTGTATAATGATGAGGGAATATTTATATCGATATACGAAAGTGTTAAGTGAATCAAGGCAGCTTGTGAGTCAATTACAAAATCACAAATGATAAGTGTTATGTATACATTCATGGTATACATACGTTATTCTATTTTACCACACATGACCGAATGATGTCTTAGATTTTGAAGAAGAATTATGTAAGATAAATGAC